ATATAAAATTAGATCTTGCATTAGATTCAAGAAAAGGTCGTCAGGAGCCTTGAAGTCCGACTTCAGAGTCTTATCCAGTGCTCCAGTGTTTCTGTAGAGAAACTCTAGGCATATTGTCTTAAATTCAGATCTAACTGGGAGTTGCCCAAAACGTCTTCATGATGAAAAAAACAAAACCCAAACCAAGTATCATCTGATACTTAACGCTTAATCCCCTATAATCCGTGCAGTTAAAATCTAGTCTTTTGTTTTGGTCTTTAAAGTTCTTGCTAATCTTAGACTTAATTACCCCGACCCCCACCGGTGTGTTAACGTCATCTTTCCTGTATTGCGAATAGCTAATGACCATTTTTCTCTGTTGCAGGTGAATGCACAATATTTGCAGCTGTTCGTGATTTAATGGCTAATCTTACACTGCCCCCTGGTGGGCGTCCATAGACACTATTGTTTTTAAACCAGGAAGGCTGACAAAAGAGACAAAACAACAACAAAAAAAAATCTGAATTCAGCCTTCAGTTTAAAAAAGCAAAAGGACTTTTTTGACTTTAAGAGCTGAATATTCTAAAGTGGCAAAAATTTTCAGGGTGCACTTCTTTCATCAAAAAGACCATCAAACTTTTGTATAGTGAACTTGTATAGTGTGTTTAAATGGGACACATTTCAAACTAGGTAATACGTCAGTGTCCGTTTGCCAGTAATAGATTTAATATTCTGTTTTATACTATAAAATCATGGAAATGCCAAACTTGTTTATTTAATTGTTTTCTTATGTTTTGGGTGTAATAGTCCTTTTTTGGGTTTTGTTTTTTAAGGCAGGTCTGTCATTTTTGAATACTGTAAAACTGTGATAAACTTTATATTGAAGCTGTATTTTAATATGACCGCTTTGAATCCTTACATGAAAATGTTCTGGGAGTTGTTATAAACACATCCCAAAGAAGCAATATTTAATAAAACTAGGTTAAAAAAAGTGACCCTCACTTGTGTGTATATCAGCTCTGTAGACTTCTCAGGGCCTCCCTTCATCTTTAACCTGGTGGGGCCAGTAATTAATTTCTAATAATACATGTCTGAAATTTGACCAAAACATCTTCTTTGTTTCAAGGTTAATTTATTTTCCTTAAACATTCCTAATTTGACTGGTGGTTAACATTTAGGACCTTGGTTGTCGTTCAGTGTAGGATTTGGGTAAAAAAGAAAGAACCCAATCTTTGAGAACAAACAGTGAGTAGTTCATATTGATCAAGGATCCCAAATACTGCAGTCATTCTCTGTTGAGGATGTGGGAACTTTTCTGTTAGGCAAATTTAGTTTACAGGATACTTCTGCATATAGCATTAATTAGGAAACCAAGAACTTGAATGCTCTACCCTTGCATGAAATTTCTGTGACGTTTCTTTGTCTTGATTAACTTCTCCCCCTTGCCTTCCCCACCAGAATTGGGGTGGTTCTAAACAATCCCAATTTAATTTATTGTCAACAAAATGATGAAATGTTTTACCTGGAAGAAGCCTGGTGCAGTGCACTCACTTGGAAGAATCCAAGACCCAGGGTCTGTCCGGGGTCAAATGGAGTTTCTGTTACACATCTCAGCAGAGTTTCTGTTTGGAGCACTGTGCTGTCTCTCCCAGTCCGTCGGGAACTTTTTTAAGCTTCAAAGAACATGATCTAAAGCAAAGGTCTTCTGGAGACTTGATGTTATTTGGGAAAGTTTTTTTAAATGGTAATACCATGCTGAGTTATCTGATCACTGTTGTACTTGTTCTCCATGAAATTTTAGATGCTTTATCTAATTCTACTTTAAGATGACTTAATTGAGCTTCTGTGACTATCAACTGCCAAATTCTAGTTTCAAGCATCTCATTGCAGTTAATATCTGTTCTCAACTTTGCTTGATTCTCCATTCATTTCTGGTCAGAACTGAGGCCTTCTTTGCCTTTCTTCTATGTCTTATTTCTGCCTTCATCTCCTGCTTCTCACCCAACTCTGCCACTATGCAGAAGCAGGTGACTACACTTTTATCCTTCCCTTAACTTACCTTTTATCCTTCTGTTTTTGGTTCACCTTACAATGGTAATCACATCAGTTTGGCAGTCTGAGATGTCTTTTATCAAGGGTCAGCCCTTTCCTATTTGGAGCTGAATCCTTTCTTTCATGTAGAAATCTACATGTATATACAAGAAATGTATTTTTATCTGCAGGATAATATTGTCTCAAATAATTTTATTAATAGAGTTAAATTTTCAGGCATTTTCCCTTTTAAGTGTGGTTTTGAAATATTAATTGCATTTTTAAACATGATACAGTCAGTGGATACTTTGTTCCTTATTATAAGTCATCTCTGAATGCATTGTGCAAATCAAAAGATAGAATTCAGTGAACAGAATTTGCTTTTGATGCTTATGAAGAGAAAACCCATGGATGTGAATTTTGATATCACGCTTGATACTTGGAATTGATGCATACTTTATTACAGCTTGAAAACACTGAGCATTTGAATCTTAGGTTTCATCACAAACTATGTCTTTTGCCTCTTCTGTTAACCGAGTTCAATCAAAGGGACTGTATGCCCATAGGGATTTTGCCTAATGGGTGGTTTGGGTCTGTAGTGTGTTTCAATGTGACTTTAGAAATTTCAGTAATAAATAAAATTCATACAAGTTTCAGAGAACTACCAACTCTCTAGTTAATTTTCATGAAGATCTTTTGGCTAGTAGTCTGGTTTATTATTAGCTTAACCTTGAAGAAATTGGTCCTGATTTGCCACATTCTTTTTTCCATCTGCCGAAATGAGGACTCCGCGCTTCCAATGCAGGGAGCCGCGGGTTCAATCCCTGGTCGGGGAACTAAGATCCCACGTGCCGCGGCGCGGCCAAAAGATTAAAAAAACCAGAATGTATTAGAAGTATTTTCAGAATTAGAGAGGAAGAAAGCGAGAACTTTAACAGAACATATCAAGTTATTAATAACAGGAGCGCTGAACTTTGTTTGAAAACTAACACTGAGCGAGCCAAGTGCAAGCATAAACTAAAATATACATGATTTTAAATTTAAACACCACTAATAACTTTACTATGTTGTAGTTAACACAGTAACCTGTTCAGCGACGAGATACTGAATAGTCTGTTAGTCATTTTTGGGATCATGGTTAATTTGATAACTTCAAGAAATATAATTTTGCTACTCTAAATCTGGGTCCAATTTCAACATTAAAAAAAGATATTCCTGGGGCTTCCCTGGTGGCGCAGTGGTTGAGAGTCCGCCTGCCGGTGCAGGGGATGCGGGTTCGTGCCCCGGTCCTGGAAGATCCCACATGCCGCGGAGCGGCTGGGCCCGTGGGCCATGGCCACTGGGCCTGCGCGTCCGGAGCCTGTGCACCACAGCGGGAGAGGCCGCGACGGTGAGAGGCCCGCGTACAGCAAAAAGAAGAAGAAGAAGAAAAAAAAGATATTCCTTTCCTTCATGGTTTCTTCCCCAGAAGAAATACCTATTACATTTTACTTTAATCAAGTTTACTATCATCCAAGTGTTCCTGATATAAAATCAATACACAGAAAATGATAAGAGAATTTATACTCAGGGAACTTAAGGGACAGAAAGGAAAGATGTTAATGTATATTTCATTGTTCCCTGTGGAATTTCCTTTTTCATGTGGTTTAATGGGAATGGACAGTTTGTCTAAGGGAATGATTTGAAATTTACTTGGGATGGATTTACTGTCGAGGTTTTTAAGAAAAAATTAGCAGAGGCCAGCCAGCATTGTGCTGCAGAATTCCAGGAGGCTATGATCTGCTCACGGTTTTCTATAAATTGCCTCCATTTCCAGGTGGCCAGTGATTTGTTAAAATACTTTGCCCAGGAATGACTGATTGATGAAAGGGCACGTTTAGGTCAATATAAAATAATAGCTAATATTTACTGAGAGCTTACTATTGCCCGGCACTAAGTATTTCAGACTGTATTTAATTGTCACAACAACCCAGCCGGGTAGGCCTCCTTTTACTGTGAGTGAACTGAGGCCTGGACAAATGAAGTAATTTGCTGAGATCAAATTAAGATTGCTTAAGATCAAACAACTAAGAAGCAGCATTTTGAGTCCAAAGCTGACACTCCAGAACACTGCCACTTTGCTGTGAAACAAAGTCAGGGGAAGGCTTCAATGTTTAGGCTCTTCCCTCAGAGCCTTTTGACTACACACAATTTTAAAATGTTTTCCAAGCTCAAGAAGCTCACCAAAAGCAACTAAAATTGAGATGACCTCTTGTCATTTGGAGTTGACAAGCCATTGCCTTCTGACCCTCATGGCGCTTATTTGGAACTTAGATTACCTTATGCAAGGAGCTCTAATTATCATATAACCAAGAGTACTAAGTCATCTAAGCTCGATGCTTCAAGACCATAGTGGAAGAAGTCCTCATCCCACTCGGGGCGATGCAGCCCTCCAGAATCCGGGTGATGTGTCGTCCTGTTTTGCCTCTGCTAGGTAGCCCAATGGCGGATGTTTCTGAGCTTTGTGTCACCTTGGCACACCGCAGGCGCTTAACAGGTGCGCGGTGCAGACAGCCAACGGTCAAATTTCACTAATGTCCAGATAGGCTACAGCCAACCTGCGGGCTTAGGATCCAGGTAAGTAAACTTTCTAGAATTGTATAACACAAGGAACATAAGTAATTCAATAACTGTCTTGAGCACCGTCTTACACCTCTACAATAAAAAAAAAACAAAACAGGAGCACAGGCTTCAGGAGAGGGAGCCCAATCGTTGGCTGGCGAGGTCTCAGTTTGGGGGAACAGAGTAGAGGCTTTCTGGGCGAGCACCAAAGTACATAACGCGTCGGTCGCCATCTAAGACGGGGGTGGGGCCGACGTGCCCCGGAAACTAGAACTCCCTGCCGCCTGGCGGTTGGGGGAATCCCGGGCGCCTTCGGGCGGGGCCACGCCCAGAGCGCCGCCGTCGCCTCGGGCGCGCCCAGACTTCCGCGCCTGCGCACGACCGTCCGCCCCGCCCCTCGCCCCGTGGCCCCGCGGGCTCGTTCCCGGCATGGTGCTCTCTGAGCTGGCTGCGCGCCTCAACTGCGCCGAGTACAAGAACTGGGTGAAGGCGGGCCACTGCCTGCTACTGCTACGCGGCTGCTTGCAGGGCTTCGTCGGCCGCGAGGTGCTCGCCTTCCACCGCAGCCTGCTAGCCGCCGCCCCCGGCCTGGGCCCCCTCGCCACCTGCCGCAGCGGCTCGCGGTGCAGCCCGCGCGCCCGCCAGGTGAGCACCCGGCCCGGGGTCTTGACCGTCGCCCCTCACCCCGTCCGCGGGCGCAGTGTCTCGTGCCCTCCCCGGAGCCGGGCCGACCGCCGTGCCTGGGGTTCAGATGCCCAGACGCCGCCCCTCCCTCCCGGGCCCCTCCTCACCGCCGCCCCCTGTAGTTTCAGCCTCAGTGTCAGGTGTGCGCAGAGTGGAAACGGGAGATTTTGAAACATCACACCAGCAGAAATGGAGACGTTCACTGGGGAAACTGCCGGCCGGTCCGCTGGCCGGTCGACGCCTGGGAGGTGGCTAAGGTAAGCACCTGCGGTCGGGAGGGTAGGAGGAGTTGGCCCACCAGGTAGGAGTTACCTGGAGCCCGGGGCGTCTGTTGGGTCTGTGTGGGAGCTGGGCCCCCATAAACAGATGCAGAGAGAGATTGGGCTTTTGATCAAGGGTGTAGTGTCTAGGCGGCTCAGGGCTGTTATATCGGACCCAACGCAGCTTAGTGAAGTAGAAGATTTCAACAAGAGACGCTGGGGCAAGATGTAGAGTGGGCATCATGGGTACAGGCACAGAGGGAGAAGCAGGCAAGGCCTTTTGAGGGTAGGCTCCCTGAGTAGCTCACTTTGTCTGTAAGGTGCCATGAGGATGGCAGAATAAGCCAAGGGAAGTTGGGGCTAAGATAGAAAGGACCTTAAGTGCCTAGCTAAGGAGTAAAACTTTGGGGAGGTAGGGGTGGGGTAGGCAGCCAGATAAAAGGGGACTGTTCGGCCCGTTTTCAGATCTTGGTGATGTGATTTACTAGCTGGGCTGATTGAAGAATTGTTTTTGATTTTTTGATATTTGCCAGAAGCCCAGTGGGAGGGGGGGGAGGGAGGGAGGGGGAGTCGAAGTAGCCTCACTAACACAAATTCACCTCTGGAGTCAGTCTACATGCTAGTTACCAGCAGGCACAGGCTTGGTGCCTGGGAAGCAGGGATCAGAATCTCCGCCCAGCTGCTGTGGTGCACCACTGGGCCAGCCTCTGTTCCCTAACCTCAAAAATGAGGAAGTTGGACTGTATCGGTGGCCCCCAGACTTTTGGCTATCGTGGTCCAGTAAACCCACCATACCCTCTCCCCCGTTTGTTTGTTGCTGCCGTAGAATTGCCAACTTCTGCTTTTACTTAGAAAAGAAGAAAACTTAAAACTCTACCCTTTGCTATGACCGTCCCTCACCTGTTTGTTTTCTGTCACTGCTTTCATACCCTCAGAATCCTCTTGAAGCCCATGCCACCTGTTTCTGCCGCTCTTTCCCTTCTTCATTGCTGTCACCTGCAGACCTAGTCCAACCACATGTGTATATTCTCTCTCCAAGCTGGACTCCCCTCTCGAACATCCTGTGATCCTCTCGACCTCAGCCTCCCACTTGCATGCTCACACCCGGACTGTGTCAGCACAGGGAGCTGCGGCGTCCAACATCCTGCTTGCCCTCGGTGTACTTATTCAACCCGCCCCCACCTCTGCCCCACCCCTCGTCCCTCTCCAAAGTCCACAGCTCTCAGGCTTCCACTGCTTTCCCAATCCCCAGCAGCCTCTGCCCTCCCAGCTTCTTTTGCTTCCTCAGCCAGCCCAGATTCCAGTCCATCATTCTGTTCAGTCCCTTGCAGTTGTCTCGGTCTTCTTCCTCCTTTCTCTGCACTTGCCAGGCCCAGCTCCAGCCCTGATGACACCACACCTGCTGCTCTGGGGAAGAATCTTTCGAGGGATCTTTCGCTTTCAGTTCTTGATCACGAGCCCAGCAGCCTGGCCCTGTCTCTCCGTAGGTTCCTGTTCCCGGAGACAACTGTTGCTGCCTCTCCTTCGCTGGGCTCCCACTCCTCTTCTCCCACCTGCAATCCCAGCTGCTAACCTTGCTCTCGCTTTCTTATCTGTTTACCAGACCTACCAACCTACCTCAATGTGCACCATCTTCTTCCTTCTGCTGCAAAGGAGGAAGGGCGTTTCTCCTCTTACCGCCCTGTCCCTCCACTTGAGTGTTGGACCTTATCCCCTCCCACCTGCCCAAGGACTTTTGAGTCTCCACTCTTCCGACCTCCCAGTTTGTTCCCATCACCATACAAATAGCCTTAGTACTGCCTTGGTTTATTCAGTTTTTTTAAAGAAAGAGATTTCAGTATAGAGTTAATATATGACTTAGCAGTGCCACTCCTAGGTACATACCTGATGAAGTGGAAGCATGTGTCCCCACAAAAACCTGTGCACGAATGTTCATAGCCGTACTCTTCACAATAGCCAAGAGGTGGAAACAACACGCATGTCCATCAGCTGATGAATGGATAACCAAAATGTGGTTTATCCATACAATGGGGTATTATTTAGCCATAAAAAGGAATGAAGTACTGATACATGCTACAGTACTGCATGAACCTTGAGAACATTATGCTAAGTGAAAGAAGCCAGTCATATATTGTATGATTCCATTTATATGAAGTGTCTAGAATAGCCAAATCTATAGAGGCAGAAAGTAGATTAGTAGTTGCCAGGGCCTGAAGGAGAGAGGGGGCAATAGCTAATGGGTAGAGGGTTTCTTTTGGGGGTGATGAAAATGTCCTAAAATTGTGGTGATAGTTGTGCAATTCTGTGAATATACTGAAAACCAGTAAACTGTAAATGCTTAATTTTTTTATTGAGGTGTCATTGACTGTAACGTTATATTAATTTCAGGTATACAACATAGTGATTCGATGTTTAACACTTTGTGAAATGATCACCACAGTAAGTCTAGTTAATGTCCACTACCATGTGTGGTTGCAAATTTTTTTTTCTTGTGATGAGAACTTTCAAGATCTGCTCTCTTAGCAACTTTCAAATACTGCAGTACAGTATTATTAACTATAGTCACCATGCTGTGGATTACATCCCCAGGACTTATTTATTTTATAACTGGAAGTTGGTACCTTTTGACCCCCTTCACCTATTTTGCCCACTCCCCACCCCCCACCTCTGGCAACCACCAGTCTGTTCTCTGCATCTGCGAGCTCGGGTTTTTGTTTTAGGTTCCGCGAATAAGCGAGATCATATGGTATTTGTCTTTCTCTGTCTGACTTACTTCACTTAGCGTAATGCCCTCAAGATCCATCCATGTCATCACAAAGAACTGTGTACTTTATTTATTTATTTTTTTAGCCGTATTATTACATTTTATTTTATTCACTGAAAATAAATAATTACCAATGAATCCTTTCTAGATTTCCTAGTTTCCCAAAGTTCCCTGTATTCACATTCTTTTTTTTTTTTCACACACACACACTGTTATTTTATTTTTACAAGAGATAAATAAACTGACACCAAGCATTGTAAATGGATGACCACAACAAAAGCAACAACGACTGCAACTACCGAACACGAAACACACTCATACTATGTCATGATATTGGCGTTCAGTCCAGCAATCCTCCACGGTAACAGCTCCTTTACTTTGCAGTGAAAACTGATTTGTATATTTTTTGCCTCTGAGTCCTTGTGGGATTTTTTTTTTTTTAATTCACACAGAAAGTCACAAAAATTATAATCATCCTCACTCAGTCCCACGTAATTAATTTTTTTTTCATCTTGATCTTCTGTTAGCACTTTTATGAATTCATCAGTTTTCCATTAGAGTTCTGGAAATGCTTATTCATTTCAGTTCAGCAGTATAGTCAGTTACCAGAAACCTGTACCTGTCAGAGTCTTTTCCACGAAGAACTGTGTACTTTAAATGGGTGAATTATATGGTATGTGAATTACATCTTAATAAAGCTTTTTTAAAAAAAGAATTGAGTGAATACTTGGAAAATAAAATTTGAAAAGAAAGAAAAACTTCCTTCATCCATTCCGTCCAGCTGTCTCCCCATTTCTCTAACTGCCTCCCACATACATACCCAGTAGAACTTCTCAAAAAGTGCTTTATGCCTAATTCTCTTTTCAGGGTTCATGCAGGTCCCGTTGACTCTTCAACCCACTCCCCTCTGCCTTCTGCCCCGCCACTCCGCTGCATGTCTTGTCAGGGGCACACGTGACCTTCCGTTCTCTGGCCTCGCCCCTCCTACCTCTCAGCTATTCGGCGCTGCCGCACTGCAGGCCACTCTTCTTGAAACAGCCCTGGCTTTGTGACATCCTCCCCTCCTGGGTTTCCTCCTGTCTCCCCGGCTCCTCCTTAGCCTCCTTCTGAGTGTCGGTTGGCCTTCCTCGGGCCTTTTCTGTCCCTCCCCATCCCGCCTTCTCCCCTGGTGATACTGCCCAGGCCCGTGGAGTGAAATATTAAATACTACGTTTCTGCTGACGGCTCCCAGATTGGTACCCCTAGCAATGCGCTTTTCTGCGCTCCGGGGGCCCATACCCAGCTGCTACTTGATGCCTCCACTTCATCACCTCCTGGGTACTTCGTCTTTTCTTCTCAAGCAGGACTCTTCATCTCTCCCCGCCAGCCAGCCTGCACCCATGCCCCACCACCAACTACCTACAGTCATTCTTGCTTCATCTCTTTCCCCCCACCACCCCTCTTATTTGTACGTGCAAATTATCTTTGGAATCATCCTCGCCATCTCTGCATCACAGCTCTCGCCCCCTCTCCTGCCAGCCTCCCACCTGGCCGCCTCTGCTGCTCTGCTCACCCCTGGTTGGTCCTTCACACAGCAGGATGTGCGGTCTTCATGTGGGAATCAGATCACTTTCTTCCTTTGCCCAAAACCCTTGGATGGCTTCCCGATGTCCTTAGAGTAAACTCCAAACTCCTTGTCAAGTCCAGTAAGGCCCAGCACGTCTGGCCCCTGTTTATTTCTCCAACCTTGTCTCCTGCTACTCAGTGAAGAGACAGGAGGGGGTAGTGAGAGGCAATAGCGTGTGTTTCTCACCCTGTGCTTGTCACATACGGAACCTGGCGGTAGGCGATACCATTTTAAGAAACAGCTTTCAGAGGCAAGGAGGCGGCAGAGCCTCCGTCGGCTTCTGGTTCTGAGGAAAGGAAAGAAGTACTAGAATAAAACCTTGACGTGGGAGAGACAGGTTTATATTGGTGAGAAAATGCCAGACTGGACATACCTTGTAATGGGAAAGAAAAACTCTGCTTGGTTTTGAGGCAACTAAGGCCCCTCCCACTTTGGGTGTTCCTCTCAGCCACAGTTGGAATAAGCAGTGTTTCTTTTCTTCCTCTTCTTTTCCTCTGTTTCATCAAACTAGTTTGCCTGTGATACATTAGTTCTTTGTTAACACTTGTAACATCCATAATCTACTTTCAGCGGGTTGGCCAGAGACAGTGATGGTCTTGGCTACTGTACCTTTTGATAGGGGCCATCCAGTATGTGTAGAATTCTTCTCAGTTACATGAGGCCGAGGTGTGTGATTCTACCACCATCAGGAACAGAGCCCTGACTCTCCTTGGGGGGTGTCGGCCCGTACCACGTTCCTTTTTCCGAATAGCACCATGAGCACTGCAGGAAGCAGCATGGTTGCTTGCCTACGGAAATGTGTTTGTTTTCAAGGGAGCAGGTCTCTTTATTTAGAGTTCTTTTTTGGCGAGTCATTTTTCATATGTCATCTCTTCTAGTCCCTTGGCAGGAACGTGCTCTTGAGCTTCATAGCTTGGTAAAGTTGTTGCCTTCAGATGTAAATTTGGAAATACTTCAGGAAAGAAATATGCCCAAGCCTTGCTATAACACCTTTTTGGGGGTACACACCATAAAATGCTACAAAAGGAAAGATCATGCTCGAATGAGGCCATTCTGTTGTATCTAGTATCTCAAACCCTGGGACCCCGTCTGTAACGCCTGTGTAGGTCCTGCTCACCTTGCACCATCAGCATAATAATTGCCAACATTTGTGGCCTGTGTATTAGCATGTGCCAGGCACCGTGCAAGTGGTTTACTCGCATTAACTCATTTAATTCTCGAAACATCCTTCAAGGTAGATGAGGACAGTTAGCCCCTATTTACTGCTGAGGAATCCGAGGATAGGTAACTTGCCCAAGGTCACACAGTTGACAAGTGGCAGAGCTGGGATTTGCACCCCAGGTCTGTCGCATTCCACAGCCCAGACTCTTAACTTTCTACTACCGTACTGAACTTTCTCGAGTAATTTTAAAGTGTCCACTTGGGAATAACTATTACTTTTAAACCTTCTTTAACAACTCAGCCACTGAAACTTCAGTAAGGAAAAGAAAAGGGTGGTTTCTTCCCCTGCCTCCTGCTTATATGCCATTAAGAAAGGACAATTAGGTCAAGTGTATAAGTGTCTGTAATAGCAAGTGGACAGATGGAGCAACTCTTCAGTTATTGCCCTGGGCTGAGGCTTGGCTGCCGCACTGTTTCCCAACTTGTGTTTTGGACTCATGAGGCTCTAACTTGAAACCTCAGTAAGAGAGTTTCAGTCATCATTTGGGGAACAGGCACATAGCATTTGTCCCACTAGCCCCATATAGATAGATGTCCCCTAGGGTTGGAGGAGACTCGGGTGCCCCTTGGGCCTCCCCTGCTGCAGGCCTTCATGCCCCGAGGACTGGCAGACAAAACAGGACCCGAGGAATGTGACGCGGTTGCTCTTCTAAGTCTCATCAACTCCTGTGATCACTTCGAGGTTGATCGAAAGAAAGTCACAGAGGTAAGAACTATCAGATTGAATAGCAGACAGAGTTGGTCGGGTGGGTACTGTGAAGACCAGTCAGGAGCCACACCCCGTGCTGCTAAAGCAGCCGTGTGGGCAGAGCTCACGGCTCTCCCCAGACGGTGGTGTGCGAAGGAGTTAGACTTTGGTCCACAGTTGTCATCGCTGAGCAGGCAAGCAGGGCTCACATCACATGCACCTTCTGTGATGTCCCAGAACCCCTGTGCGAACGCAGGCGGGAGACTGACCCTTCAACCCTACCCTGTTGAACTTTTCCGACAACCTGCTGTTGCACTGTTTGCCACTAAATCGACAGGCCTCAAATTTCTCTTCCCTGTTCTGCCATAAACAGAAGCAAAGTAATCTTCCATATTAAAAAAAAAAAAACAACAAATACAGAGTAATGCGTCATTCTGTCCATTGGATGCCAGCATTGGAATCCTGCCCTTCTCAATCTCATTGGCTAAACAGTTGCAAGGCCAGTTTACCTAGAACTGAGGAAAATATAAACACTAATGGATAAACAGTGTCAGAACAGATCGCTACGCTTGTCAGACTTCCTCTGGGAGATTTAGACTATCTCTGTTTCACCAGAGAACAGCTCTGGCACATTTGTTACGCTAAGGATCCTTGAAAAGGGTATATAGCATACCTGGATTATTTATAATATGTAGAGAAAATGCATGTATATTTTGCTAGCATGCCAGCAGCTGAAAGGACTGAGAGTCCTTTATCAGCAGCGGACTCAAAAACTATCACAGTATAAAATCAAGCCCTTTGGTAGCTTTTAACCAAGAGTGTGGAAGACTTGGCATGAAATGTATATTAAAAGAGTTTTGCATTGTCTGCTTTGGCCTCTGGGTATTCTCAGAGCCAGTAGCCAATAGTTTTGCTCTTTGGCGGGTTGTTTTAAGTTAGGGCATTTGGGGGATTGTGCGAGAGATACCCCCCGCCCCCCAGGCCACAAGATTTCAAGGACTAGCGACAGTTATAGGCTTGCTTGTATTTCTTACCCCAATTAATTTATTCAAGTGGCTGGGGGTTGAACATCCCCCTCGAGCCTTGACAGCACCTGCAGACCACGCACTTGTGGATTTTAGAATTAACAAGGCCTTTCAACAGTCTTTCTCTGGAACTACAAAATCTCAGTTTACCCCACTATTGGCCTTTGAAGGCTTTTCTCTTTTTTTGTCTTTCTATAGGTGATTAAGTGTCGTAACGAGATCATGCACTCTTCAGAGATGAAAGTATCTTCTGTGTGGCTTCGAGATTTTCAGATAAAGATCCAAAATTTTCTGAATGAATTTAAGAATATCCCAGAGATTGTGGCGGTATACTCCCGAATAGAACAGGTAAAAAATCACGTTTAACAGTTCTTGCATAAAGACCTAAGGGGGAAAAAAAGGAATCACAGTCACTCATTTCGAATTTGAAGCTTATTAGATTTAAACAAAATTCTAGAATGTAAGTAGGGGAACAATATTGATACGAAGTCAGAATTGTGATCGGGCTGAGCAGCTTTTCTGTGGTCACGGGATGTTATTAGACTGGATCCAGTCAACGATGTTTAATTACAAATTCTTTGAATATCTTTTTTTTTTTTTGGAATATCTTTTCCATTCAATCGGTTCATATATTTGTTCGGTAACCCAACAGCTGTTGACATCTGACTGGGCTGTTTACATCCCTGAGGAGGATCAGCCAGATGGGTGTGACTATGAAACAGGAGTTTACCTGAGTGAGCACCAAGTAAACGAGATAGAAATGGAGTTACTAAAGGAAAAACTTCAAGAGCTATATCTTCAAGCAAAGGGACAAGAGGTGTTGCCTGAAGAGGTAAAAAAAAAAAAAAAAAAAAAAAAATAATTTCCTCTAAAAAGAAAAAAAAAAAAAAAAAAAAAAAGCATTATATCCTCTGTGTGAGTAAACAAAACAAAGAAAGGCACCAGGGAGGAAGAGTAGCACATTTTAACTTATTAACGGTTATGTTTCTGCTTTAAAAGTCAAATAATTTCCAGAAATGGATATTCTTTTGGCACAGATTACTGTTACCCTTAAACAAGTGTTTTCACCCCATCAGCAAACATTTGGGTGCCTAATATGTGCCACAGAGTGGAAGACCACAGGAAGGGCGGCCACAGAATCCTGAACCGCAGGCTCCCGCGACTCTCTGCAGCTCAGAGGGGCGATTGCAGAGAAAGGCTTTGCTGAGAAGGCGCTGTTGAGCTGGGACTAAGAATCAAATCAGAGTTCAGCAAATTGGCAAGAGCAGAAGGGCATTCTTGGCAGAAGGCATTTGCCAAGACATGAAAGACTAGCCTGGGCCAGACAGTGACGAGGCGACGTAGGAGGGAGGTATGGTCGGTTGTGAGGGTGGTCAGGTAGGTCGAAGCCGTATTTTGAAAGGTCTTCTTTGCCTCACTAAGGGGTTTGGACCTTATTCCCAAAGAGCAGTTGGGAGCCAACAGAGGTTTTAAATCAGGAGAGAGTAAATGAATAGATCAGATAGGGCTTTTAGAAAGTGACGTCTTAATGGCACTTGGAGGTTGGAGACGAGCCAGGAGGCTCTTGGCAGTTGTGGGAGGGTGAGAGAAAGAGGACAGAAGCTAGAGGTGTGGGGGAGGAGCCGGGTGCTGGAGGCACTACTGGGGCCCAGCCGCAGTGGCTGGTTAGATTACTTGGGGCGTGGCCCGGGGCTGGCGGGAGGTGGGGAAGGAGGGGTTAAAGGATCGTCAAGGCTTCTAGCTCAGGACGCTGCAAGCTAATGATCGCCTCAAGGACAGGAGATATGAGTCCCCTTTGTTACATGCAAGATATTAAAAAAACTAACAGTAGTAGAATTATATTTTGGTAAGGTTCAGAAATAGCCCAGCACTTGCTGGATTAGAATTCCAGATTCCCAGGATGTCTTGGACAGATCATTTTACCTCTCCAATTCCACCTCGTCCGAGGAAAGTAGTTTTACTGGCTACCTCGTGAAACACAGCGTGTTTTAATACAAAGTGTGTATTTCATTTTTTAGGCCGTGCTCCGTACTGGTCCATATGCCTACGTTAACTCTTCTGACCTTGACCCAGGTGCTTCACTCAGCTTGATGAACTCCTTTAGCACAGGGACTGGGTACCAGTGGTTTTGGGGTGCACCCACCCTGGCACACCATAGGTATTTAAAGTGACGAATAAGGCTGTTAAAGCTGTTTTCTAAATCCATCTGGCTTTATTTATTTTTTTATTTTCAAAAAGTATTTATTTGTTTGGCTGCATTGGGTCTTAGTTGCGGCGTGCGGGCTCTTTTAGTTGCGGCATGTGGGATCTAGTTCCCTGACCAGGGAGCGAACCCAGGCCCCCTGCATTGGGAGTGCGGAGTCTTAGCCACTGGACCGCCAGGGAAGTCCCTCATCTGGCTTTACTTTAAAATGCCATTAGAGCCATCCCCAGTTTTCTTTCCACTGCTCCTTTTAAAAGCAGAGTCAGACAACAGAAGAAAACCGGGAGATCAGGCTCACGGTCCCTGAGTCGTCAGAAATTCTCTCCTCTTCCTTGAGGGAGCTGCAGTTCTTTTCCTGTTTGTGTAACAAAGAGCAAAATGCATCAGTAGCAACGCACTGAAACCAGGAGTCTCTGCAAGTTGGGAGCGGGAAGGGACCTGGGTAATACCCTGCTTTATAGCAACCCTAAGGGGCAGGTGCTGATGGGCTCAAGGCCTCACGGCTGGGGTATGAGGGCTGGCCCGGGGGTCTTCCCGCTCTGGCCCTGGGCCTGCCTTCCCACGTGCCGTGCAGCGGCTCTCATGTCGCCGAGCAGCTAGCAATTGTAAATTTCGACCCTTCATTATCTCTGTTTTACAGAGAGGAAATTGGGGTTAATTGGCTTGTCCTCTGGGTCCCCAAGTCTCTAGATAAAGGTGATAAATTCTCATTTTTCATGCTTTCTGTTCAGTGGACCGTGGCATTTCTCTTGATATTTCAATTGATCAAGTTGTAAGTTCGGATTGATTGGCACGTTATCTCTGAGAAGCTGAAGGATGGCTTTCCACGATGTGTGGAACAGACCTCTTTTGAAAGTTCAGCAGCAAATACGATTATTCATGTTCTTTTGGGTTAGTCTCCAAAGTCAGAGGATTTGGTAAACCAAATTTCAGTGACTCTAAAACACTATGAATTGCAAGACACACCATTAATTCAGTCACTTGTAAGGAAAAAAAAATGCTGCCAATTTACTGTAAGACACTATCAGTGGTAAGGCGCATTCTCATTCGAGATGTTAAAGTATTTTTAAAAATGTGCAATTAGGAATCAAGAAATGCAGTGGTTGTATTATGACCGCGGCACTTTTTGTGTGAATGTTCAGCAAGACCTGTTTCTGGTGTTCATTAAAACAGCAGAGCTCGGGTTGGAAAGCCAAGTTGAGAAGAAAGGGTTAATGGTGGTGATTTAGTGCGACAGTCCCCCGAAAGGCATCAGGGAGCACGGGAGTGAGTGCCAGGGACCACGAGGCAGAGAGTTCATCATCTCCATTCTTTCCTGTCCAGTTGGCGAGCCTTAATGATAACATTATAAAAGGGGGCTCCCATTAAAATACGCTGTGCGTGCATAACTGTGATTGTAAAACGCGGTCCGCCTCAGAGCCAAATGGGAGCAACGGCTGCCACCCAAGAGCCCTTCACACACACCTGCCGGCCCTCGGCGCTGTGTTAGGGTCTGGGGGGTTCAAAATTCAGCCAGAGAACGTTGAGCGCAGTAAGTGGCTAAAAAACATGCAACGAACTTGCACATTCTTGAAAATCGTTACTGACTTCTTAAACCCTGGTGGGGGGACCGCTTTCGGGGGGAAACTCAGGGAGGAAGTGACAGAATGCAGTCGAGGCAGGCAGGGGAAGGATGGAAGTGACACTCCATTGGTTACAGGCCAGATTTATTTCATGAGTGAGTGCCTACTATTTGCCAGGCACAGTTCTAGAAGCTTGGCGTGCATCAGTGAACAAAACAGATGGTAAACGGTCAGCATAATAAGCAATGATGGGGCGAGGTAGAAGGAGGAGGGCTGTGTGGAGCACAGTGTGGGGATCAGGAGTGGCCGAACGGGGCTGGGGGTTGGGTTGCGCGGGGTGGCCAGGGAGGCCCCATGGGGAAGCTGAGACTTAGCGATACCTTGGAGGAGGTGCGGAGCAGCCGTGTGCGCTTCTGGAGGAGGAGCGTTCAGGCGGAGGGCAGGGCAAGCTAAGCAGGCTGGCTGGAGTGCGGTGAGGAGCTGAGCGAAGGGAAGCCTTGTGGGCCGTTGGGAGGATCCAGGCTCTTCCTCCCGAGGCGGCAGCCACACTGAGTTCTGAGCAGCAGAACGATGAAGGGAGCACGCTGGCCGCCGTGTGGAGGATGCAGGGCCGGGGGCCAAAGATGGAAGCAGGGAGACATTAGGAGGCTGCCGCAGGTACCAGGTCAGAGAGGTGGTGGTTCAGACCAGGGTGGAAGGGTGAAGAGTAGAGGTGGTGAGAAGGGGGGCACGTGTGGTGTGGGAGAGAAGGAAAGGCGTCAAAGACAAGTCCAAGGGTTTTGGCTTAAGTGCCTGGGAGTATGGAGGCGCTAAGCATCTTTTGCCTAGAACAGCGCCTGCCTGGCACATAGTAGACTCTCGGTACGCTTTTGTTAAATGATTGTCGGAAGGGAGGAATGTACCAGACACAGTGCTAGGTGCTTTTACTAGATTATTTCTAATCCTCACAGGAATGCTTGGTGGTGTTGGTATCATCATCCTATATTTGCATATATGGAAGTAAGCTCAGAGAGGTCAAGTGTCTTGCCCAAAGTCACACAGCTAGTTAAGTGGCAAAGCTGGGCTTCAATATCCAAGTCTGTCTGACTACTTTTCTAGCACTTTGTTTTTCCACCTTTACTTCCCTCCCCATTTAACATATAAACGTGCATAAGCCTTCCCCATTCTTAATAAATTTTTTTAAAAACTCCTTTTGACTCTTTCTCCTCCCCCCAAGCTAAAATAATCACCCCTGTTGAGCACATTTCAAGAGCAGAGAGGGTCAGGAGGTGACAGCACAAAGGATCAAAGCTCCCAAGTCATGAAATGAGAAGGTCTATGGGAAGGGAGGACCCCACTCCATCTTGGAGGGTATGTGTGATGCACAGACCAGGCCGGCATGGTCTCGGGCATCTGATGGGAGCCAAGGAATGGGAAGAACCCTGGGGTGCATCTAGAGCACCCGGCACAGGCCATGAGTGCTAACAGTGCAGTACCCGCAATTACTAATGTACACTGTGAATTACGTCACTGATGTAATCTTCATTTCACGTTTTTACGGTTTCCAGATTTATTATTTAAAGCCCAGGTATCTTTCAGGAGCTGTAGGCTTGTCTCTAGCCGTGTAATAAACAGCTCCAGCTGAAGGGCACATCCCCATCTACTTAGTAACCTGTCTGAAGACCTCTGGTCATCCTCAGCTCCACCCTGGCCCTCCCTGTTCCCTGTTCATCCTGGTCACAAGCCCTAGCCAGTCTTCCCCTCCCTCCCATCCCTGGCAGCCATCGTTCTGCAACCGACCGTCTCACTCACTGCCATCACAATAACCTGGTGCCTGCTTAGGTTCTGCCCTAGCCCCGCTGCACCAGAGTCAATTGTGTACATCTCTAAAGTTTAAGAACCACCACTCTGCTAAGAGTAGGGTACTCCATCACTTTCCTTCGTTAGATGTCGATCGTCTTGACTTAGCTTGGAATTGGGGGTCCCTCATTTTAAACAATTCACCACACCCCAAAATATTAATAACTCTCTTCTTTGTAATAAGCACAGTGACCAGTGAGGGTATCCTCGGATAAGCCGGGTGAAAACACTTCCGTGGTACTATTCTAAGAATACATGCTTTTATTAGTTTAAATGTCAGGAAGGATGTTACTGGTGGGAGTTTAAATTGGTATAACCTCTAGAGATGACAGTTTTGGCAAAATCTATTAACATTAAAACAGAAAACTCTATCAATTAAAACTTCATTCCACTTCTAAAAACAGATCCTACAAATAGCCTGTCACTTTATGCAAAATGACACATGTCCCAGGTTAGTTACTGCAGCGGCATTTCTCTTAGCAGAAGGTTTGAAATAATATGTTAATGCATGAGACATCCATAACTGAAAAACTGTTCAGCCATTAAAAAAAATAATGAGGCCACTCTTTACAATCTGATATAGAAAAAAATCAGTTGAAGAACAATGTCTAATATGCTGCCATTTGTGTTTTTAAAAATGTGTATGTGCCAATTATGTCTCAATAAAGCGGAAATTTTAAAAAGGTGTGCACATATATACATATATGCTCACCTGTAAATGCATGGACTATCTCTGGAAGAGACACAAGAAACTTCACTGTGGTCACCTTTAAGAGGAGCTGGGTGACTGGGGACAGGATGTGGAAGAGGACCAAATTCTTACGTTGTACCCTGTGTTCATCTTGAATTTTGTACCAGTATATTCATTACTAGTAAATATGTATGTATATTTTATAAATATTGAATAGTAATAAACGTATATATGTATACATATTTACTAGTAATAAGTGTGTACAACATCAAAGAGCATTATATGTGTGAGTGTATACATTTGTATATATGTGTGTGTATATATATATATGTGTATGTGTAAATGTATTTAATCATAATAAATGGGTACAAAATTCAAAATGAAAGGGCTTTATTTTATTTTTATATATACATATATATGTATGTGTATGTATACGTATGTGTGTATATATGTGTATACACACACACACACATATAGGTATAGACATATAGCCCTTTTGTACAAATGCAGGAAGTTTTACAGCAAAAAAAAAATCATCTTTTAAAATTTTTTTCCAGTTTTATTGAGATATAATTGACATACAGCACTGTATAAGTTTAAGGTATACAGCATAATGATTTGACGTACATATATCGTGAAATGATTACCACAATAAGTTTAGTTAACGTCTGTCATCTCGTATAGATACCAAAAAAAGGAAAAAAGTGTTTTTTACCTTGTGATAAGAATGCTTAAGATTTACTCACTTAACAACTTGCAAATATACCATACAGCAGTGTTAACTATTGTCATTGTGTTGTACATTACATCCCTAGTACTTATTTATCTTGTAAACTAGAAGTTTGTACCTTTTGACCACCTTCATCCAATTCCCTATTCCCACCGCTGGTAACTGCAAATTTGATCTCTTTTTATGTGAGTTTATTTTTTTGTTTTTGTTTTAGATTCCACATATAAGTGAGATCATACAGTATCTATCTCTCTGTTTGACTTAACTTAGCATAACGCCCTCTGGGTCCGTCCATGTTGTCTCGAATGGTAGGATTTTCGTCTTTTTTATGGCCAAGTAATATTCCATTTGTGTGTGTGTGTGTGTGTGTGTGTGTGTGTGTGTGTGTGTGTGTGTGTATATATATACACCACATCGTCTTTACCCATTCATCTGTTGATGGACCCTCACGTTGTTTCCTTGTCTTAGCTATTGTGAATAATGCTGCTAATTAACATGGGGATGCAGATGTCTCTTCAGCGTGGTGTTTTTGTTTTCTTCAGATATATTCCCAGAAGTAAAATTTCTAGATCACCTGGTAGTTCCTTTTTTAAGTTTTTGAGGATCCTCCATACTGTTTTCCAGAGTGGCTACACCAATTTACATTCCCACCAGCAGTGTACGAGGGTTCCCTTTTCTCCACATCCTCGCCAACATTTGTTACCTCTTTTTGATGATGACTGTCCTTTTTTTTTGGCCGTGCCGCACGGCTTGTGGGGTCTTAGTTCCCCGACCATGGATTGAACCCGGGCCCTTGGCAGTGAGAACACAGAGTCCTAACCACTGGACCGCCAGGGGATTCTCGATGATGACCATTCTAACAGGTGTGAGGTGATACCTCATTGTGGTTTTAATTTTCATTTCTCTGATGATTAATGATGTTGAGCACCTTTTCCTGTACCTGTTGGCCATTTGTATGTCTTCTTTGGGAAAGTGTCTATTCAGTTCTTTGGGAAAATGTCTGTTCAGGTCCTTTGCCCGTTTTTTAACTGGGTTGTCTGTTTTTTTTGCTATTGAATTGTGTGAGTTCTTTTTATATATATATGTGTGTGTGTGTGTGTGTGTGTGTGTATAATTTTTTAATTTTTTTTGGCTGCGTTGGGTCTTTGTTGCTGCGCACAGGCTTTCTCTAGTCGTGGCGAGTGGGGGCTACTCTTCCTCGCGGTGCGCGGGCTTCTCACTGCAGTGGCTTCTCTTGTTGCGGAGCACGGGCCCTAGAGCGCACGGGCTTTAGCAGTTGTGGCTCGAGGGCTCTAGAGCGCAGGCTCAGTAGTTGTGGACCACGGGCCCAGTTGCCCCGCGGCATGTGGGATCTTCCCGGACCAGGGATCATACCTGTGTCCCTTGCACTGGCAGGCGGATTCTTAACCACTGCGCCACCAGGGAAGCCCCTCTTTATATATTTTGGATATTAACCCCTAAAAGCAAAAAATGTTAAGGAGACAAGCAAACACGCCCTTGTGTGGCCCCAGAACCAGCTACTGGTAGACACATGAACAGGAGCCAGTCTTGGAGCTAGTAAGTTTTTCATCTGAATTTTAAGTCTGCTATAAAATTATCTAAGCTGTGCATTGTATGGTTTCTTCTTACAGATCTTAAATCAACTGGAAGTGGTGAAAGAATTTCTGAGAAACAACGAGGATCTTAGAAATGGTCTTACAGAAGATATGCAGAAGCTAGACAGCCTCCACCAACAGCCTCAAAAACTGGATTCGAAGGAACCTAGGGCACAGACACCTGAAGGGAAGGCCTGAAGTGAGTTTAAGCATATGATGGTAAATAAGGACAGAATAGCCTCATCTCTTTAATGTCTGTTCTTTTAGGTAAGGCCATAACACACATAGTCTCATCTGAAGTTTCCCTATGTCCTTTTTATTTGAAAGAAAGGACACTGAGCTTTGTGCTCTTTCTGATTGATGGTTCTCACATCTGTGAACTAGTTCAAGATAAACTCCCTGTCAGCTTTGTTCAGTCAAGTATACCTGAAGTCATTGGTCTAGTCTTAAATGAATCAACTTTATGACATAATCAAGAAGCATTTCAGCCCTAAAGTGATGCCAGTGATGCCTCACTCTTAGCCGTGGCATGAATAATAGCAATTTGTTTGTTTTCATAAGAAAAACTTGTTGGGACTTCCCTGGTGGTCCAGCGGTTAAGTCTCCGCGCTCCCAATGCAGGGGGCCCAGGTTCGATCCCTGGTCAGGGAACTAGGTCCCGCATGCCACAACTAAGACCCAGTGCAGCCAAATGAATGAATGAATTAATTAATTTTAAAAAAAAAAGTTAAAATAAGTAACTATCTTCAGTATTTTACTTTTTTTCCTCAAATGAAGAAAATTAAATATTTTCTTTTATTTTAGGTTGACCTTCAACAAAAATCAGGCATGTTCTGTGAAAGTCAGCCGGGCTTCCATCTCAGCCGTCCTTTTCTGTGCAAAAGGGAAAACTTACCCAAGCACTCCACTCAAACAAAAAGGAATTTGTGTCATCTTTTCCTGGACTTTCCTTTAACTCTTTGGGAGTTTTGTTTTGTTTTGTTTTGTTTTTTTAACATTCCTAAGCTTGGTGTTATGTGATCTGTACCAGCCAAAAAATATTAGATGCTCTTGTGCCAAACTTGCTGTCATCCGGGCTTTTTTGTTTGTTTTTCGGGTTTTGTTTTTGGTTTGGTTTTGCTGTTTAAAAGGTGAGATTCTTTTCTGGTCCTAAAACTCTAACTGCTTAAACACTAAAGGCTGTGTTCGGCCAGGCCTGTGTGAAGGGCCACGCAGAGTTCTCTGCCCACTGGCACGCAAGTCCTGTGCCCACACACTTGCCTGAAAGTCTCATTCATGAGGATGCCCAGGGGTGGGCTGTGATGTACATGTTGAGATATAAATCCTTTTTGCCAGCAGGCAAGGAAAAAAATGTGCCCGAAAGGCCATTTTCTAGCCATTTCCAGTTAGTACAGAACTGTTACTACCTGTTTCTGGTAGCTTGAGGCAGTAGGACAAAGAGGTGGGCTGGAGAACACAGCAACTTGACTGACCAAAGCAGGGGGAGGGCCCAGGCCAGTATCACAAGCAGGGATGTCCGGGAAAGTTTTGAGGTTGCTGACTTGTTTATGGCACTCTTAAGAAAAGTCAGCCTTGGTGGCAGTCACAGCTCTTCCGGTTCAGTTATAACCTGAGTGCCGAGCACAAGGCCTGGCCCTTGCGTGCTCAATGAATATTCATTAACTGAAGGGTCAGCTGATAGCCCAGAGGTATTCATAGACGCAAATGTCAGTTACACTGTTAACTAAACCTTGTCCTTTGTTATGAGATTGAGGAATGAAACTTTAATATTCTTATGGAAGTTCAAAGACATCATTTTCTTTCAGCAGATTCACAAATTCATTCATACTTCCTTATTCCTTTTACCCAAAAAGTCATACACTTTTGACTTTGTCCTGTTTGTTTCCTAAACTGCAAAACCCCTGTCCCATTGTATGCAGTGATCTGTGGGATCAGCTGTACCCTCACCTTCCCCTACCTCTGCTCATTTCCAAAGCCAGCAGTACTGAACTGGGCCTTGTCGCCCCTGGACCTTGAGGGACAGAATTGCCACATTCCCCACTGCCTGGAGGAAGTGCTTCCGTTTCGAGCCCAGGTGAAGCCCTGCTCCTTTGCTTACTCAGCTGCCCAACAAGGATGTGATTTTTAGAGAAAGGGGGTGGGGGGATGCATTTTTACCCTGAAATGCATTTAATGTAGTTCTGTAAAACCTGGATGAATGCAAATATGCCTGTGACTTCCTGCTTTCATCTTTCCTGCTACTATTTGGTCTTTAATCTTACGTTTTCTTTCTCCCTTCATTTCATGGAGTTCCTTTAGAAGACTTCAATAGTAAAGTAACAATTTTCTTTCATCTTGCAACTTCCTGCAAACTAAGATACTCCATGAAACATTTCCTAGTTTCTACATGTAGGATAACAAAACTTGGGATCACATTAAATCTTGATTCACTAACCAATTTAAGATCTGATTTCTCCCCTTAGGAACTTTGGATTATGAACACTTTCATTTCATACCTCTTGTATCTATTTAGCTTTTCCTTATCTACCCAAGAAACGTTTTATCAAGTATCAACCACATGCCAGGCACTGAAGTTGATGCAAATGGAGGATATGTAAGGTATGGACAATGGTATGTGAGCTGTCATCTTACTGGATTTATTGTCTGCTCTGATGAATTAAAGATACTGTTCAGGGAATTCCCTGGCGGTCCAGTGATTAGGACTCAGCACTGTCACTCAACTGCCGGGGCCCGGGTTCGATCCCTGGTCGGGGAACTAAGATCCCAGAAGGCGGGAGGTGCGGCCAAAAAAAAAGATATTGTTCAGAAACATTATTCTGGCAACATTTAATTACATTAAAATTGAAACGAAGATAGGAAGACATGCCTGGAGGGGGCTTTAAAGCAAACACAGCTTTAAGACTTCCATGGTGGCGCAGTAGTTAAGAATCTGCCTGCCAATGCAGGGGAGATGGGTTCGAGCCCTGGTCCGGGAAGATCCCACATGCCGCAGAGCAACTAAGCACATGTGCCACAACTACTGAGCCTGCGCTCTAGAGCCCGCAAGCCACAACTAGTGAGCCCGCATGCCACAACTACTGAAGCCGGAGCACCTAGAGCCCGTGCTCCACAAAAGAAGCCACTGCAGTGAGAAGCCTGCACACCACAACAAAGAGTAGCTAGCCCCTGCTCGCCACAACTAGAGAAAAGCCTGCGTGCAGCAACGAAGACCCAATGCAGCCAAAAATATAATAAATTTTTTTTAAAAAACTATAATTAAAAAAAAAATAGCAAACATAGCTGTAAAGGTTGATCCGGGGACATCAGCCCTGTGGGACTCTCTTCTACAGATCTGTGCACGTGGGCACAGAGCATGGACAAAAGGGTGTTCACAGCAGCCTTGGCAGGCAGCCATCGAGAGAGGACTGGTTAAATAATCACAGCACATCCATGCTACCGAGTATTACGCAACTGTTAAAAAGAAGGCTGCAGTGCCATGATGGGGGTGACGTGTAAGACATTATAGATAGAAAAGCAGAATGTGTAACAATGCATAGCATGCTATAAAACTATGGTATTTAAAAAAAAAAAAAAACTGTGGTATTTTCAAATAACAGGTCTGAAAAGTTGTGTACTTTTCCCAAGCTTTTTTGCCATGTTACCACTGCCAAAGGAATTGGGGTCGAATTTGGCTTTTCTATTTTTTGCACACTCGCGTATGAAATTTTTACAACAAAGCTGCACTCCTGTAGTTTGAAAACTTTTCATTCAAATTTTGCATTTCAAAATAATAGACGTAAATTCAAACTGCAAGACTTATATGTCACGTTTCCTGGAATATATTGTAGCCTCCATTTTTGCGGGGGTCAGCTCCACCTCCAGGGGCACTCGTGAGTTATCAGGGTCAGGAGAAGCCCAGGAAGTGGTTTCCTTCCCGCACAGGGCTTCATCATCTCTAAGTGCCTTGTCTTTGTCCAGCAATGTGATTTGTTCCCAGCCTCCCCCTGAGACACAGTGTGAGGTTCATAGTTTTGTGTGTGTGTGTGTGTGTGTGTGTGTGTGTGTGTGTGTGTGTGTGTGTGTATATATATACACCACATCGTCTTTACCCATTCATCTGTTGATGGACCCTCACGTTGTTTCCTTGTCTTAGCTATTGTGAATAATGCTGCTAATTAACATGGGGATGCAGATGTCTCTTCAGCGTGGTGTTTTTGTTTTCTTCAGATATATTCCCAGAAGTAAAATTTCTAGATCACCTGGTAGTTCCTTTTTTAAGTTTTTGAGGATCCTCCATACTGTTTTCCAGAGTGGCTACACCAATTTACATTCCCACCAGCAGTGTACGAGGGTTCCCTTTTCTCCACATCCTCGCCAACATTTGTTACCTCTTTTTGATGATGACTGTCCTTTTTTTTTGGCCGTGCCGCACGGCTTGTGGGGTCTTAGTTCCCCGACCATGGATTGAACCCGGGCCCTTGGCAGTGAGAACACAGAGTCCTAACCACTGGACCGCCAGGGGATTCTCGATGATGACCATTCTAACAGGTGTGAGGTGATACCTCATTGTGGTTTTAATTTTCATTTCTCTGATGATTAATGATGTTGAGCACCTTTTCCTGTACCTGTTGGCCATTTGTATGTCTTCTTTGGGAAAGTGTCTATTCAGTTCTTTGGGAAAATGTCTGTTCAGGTCCTTTGCCCGTTTTTTAACTGGGTTGTCTGTTTTTTTTGCTATTGAATTGTGTGAGTTCTTTTTATATATATATGTGTGTGTGTGTGTGTGTGTGTGTGTATAATTTTTTAATTTTTTTTGGCTGCGTTGGGTCTTTGTTGCTGCGCACAGGCTTTCTCTAGTCGTGGCGAGTGGGGGCTACTCTTCCTCGCGGTGCGCGGGCTTCTCACTGCAGTGGCTTCTCTTGTTGCGGAGCACGGGCCCTAGAGCGCACGGGCTTTAGCAGTTGTGGCTCGAGGGCTCTAGAGCGCAGGCTCAGTAGTTGTGGACCACGGGCCCAGTTGCCCCGCGGCATGTGGGATCTTCCCGGACCAGGGATCATACCTGTGTCCCTTGCACTGGCAGGCGGATTCTTAACCACTGCGCCACCAGGGAAGCCCCTCTTTATATATTTTGGATATTAACCCCTAAAAGCAAAAAATGTTAAGGAGACAAGCAAACACGCCCTTGTGTGGCCCCAGAACCAGCTACTGGTAGACACATGAACAGGAGCCAGTCTTGGAGCTAGTAAGTTTTTCATCTGAATTTTAAGTCTGCTATAAAATTATCTAAGCTGTGCATTGTATGGTTTCTTCTTACAGATCTTAAATCAACTGGAAGTGGTGAAAGAATTTCTGAGAAACAACGAGGATCTTAGAAATGGTCTTACAGAAGATATGCAGAAGCTAGACAGCCTCCACCAACAGCCTCAAAAACTGGATTCGAAGGAACCTAGGGCACAGACACCTGAAGGGAAGGCCTGAAGTGAGTTTAAGCATATGATGGTAAATAAGGACAGAATAGCCTCATCTCTTTAATGTCTGTTCTTTTAGGTAAGGCCATAACACACATAGTCTCATCTGAAGTTTCCCTATGTCCTTTTTATTTGAAAGAAAGGACACTGAGCTTTGTGCTCTTTCTGATTGATGGTTCTCACATCTGTGAACTAGTTCAAGATAAACTCCCTGTCAGCTTTGTTCAGTCAAGTATACCTGAAGTCATTGGTCTAGTCTTAAATGAATCAACTTTATGACATAATCAAGAAGCATTTCAGCCCTAAAGTGATGCCAGTGATGCCTCACTCTTAGCCGTGGCATGAATAATAGCAATTTGTTTGTTTTCATAAGAAAAACTTGTTGGGACTTCCCTGGTGGTCCAGCGGTTAAGTCTCCGCGCTCCCAATGCAGGGGGCCCAGGTTCGATCCCTGGTCAGGGAACTAGGTCCCGCATGCCACAACTAAGACCCAGTGCAGCCAAATGAATGAATGAATTAATTAATTTTAAAAAAAAAAGTTAAAATAAGTAACTATCTTCAGTATTTTACTTTTTTTCCTCAAATGAAGAAAATTAAATATTTTCTTTTATTTTAGGTTGACCTTCAACAAAAATCAGGCATGTTCTGTGAAAGTCAGCCGGGCTTCCATCTCAGCCGTCCTTTTCTGTGCAAAAGGGAAAACTTACCCAAGCACTCCACTCAAACAAAAAGGAATTTGTGTCATCTTTTCCTGGACTTTCCTTTAACTCTTTGGGAGTTTTGTTTTGTTTTGTTTTGTTTTTTTAACATTCCTAAGCTTGGTGTTATGTGATCTGTACCAGCCAAAAAATATTAGATGCTCTTGTGCCAAACTTGCTGTCATCCGGGCTTTTTTGTTTGTTTTTCGGGTTTTGTTTTTGGTTTGGTTTTGCTGTTTAAAAGGTGAGATTCTTTTCTGGTCCTAAAACTCTAACTGCTTAAACACTAAAGGCTGTGTTCGGCCAGGCCTGTGTGAAGGGCCACGCAGAGTTCTCTGCCCACTGGCACGCAAGTCCTGTGCCCACACACTTGCCTGAAAGTCTCATTCATGAGGATGCCCAGGGGTGGGCTGTGATGTACATGTTGAGATATAAATCCTTTTTGCCAGCAGGCAAGGAAAAAAATGTGCCCGAAAGGCCATTTTCTAGCCATTTCCAGTTAGTACAGAACTGTTACTACCTGTTTCTGGTAGCTTGAGGCAGTAGGACAAAGAGGTGGGCTGGAGAACACAGCAACTTGACTGACCAAAGCAGGGGGAGGGCCCAGGCCAGTATCACAAGCAGGGATGTCCGGGAAAGTTTTGAGGTTGCTGACTTGTTTATGGCACTCTTAAGAAAAGTCAGCCTTGGTGGCAGTCACAGCTCTTCCGGTTCAGTTATAACCTGAGTGCCGAGCACAAGGCCTGGCCCTTGCGTGCTCAATGAATATTCATTAACTGAAGGGTCAGCTGATAGCCCAGAGGTATTCATAGACGCAAATGTCAGTTACACTGTTAACTAAACCTTGTCCTTTGTTATGAGATTGAGGAATGAAACTTTAATATTCTTATGGAAGTTCAAAGACATCATTTTCTTTCAGCAGATTCACAAATTCATTCATACTTCCTTATTCCTTTTACCCAAAAAGTCATACACTTTTGACTTTGTCCTGTTTGTTTCCTAAACTGCAAAACCCCTGTCCCATTGTATGCAGTGATCTGTGGGATCAGCTGTACCCTCACCTTCCCCTACCTCTGCTCATTTCCAAAGCCAGCAGTACTGAACTGGGCCTTGTCGCCCCTGGACCTTGAGGGACAGAATTGCCACATTCCCCACTGCCTGGAGGAAGTGCTTCCGTTTCGAGCCCAGGTGAAGCCCTGCTCCTTTGCTTACTCAGCTGCCCAACAAGGATGTGATTTTTAGAGAAAGGGGGTGGGGGGATGCATTTTTACCCTGAAATGCATTTAATGTAGTTCTGTAAAACCTGGATGAATGCAAATATGCCTGTGACTTCCTGCTTTCATCTTTCCTGCTACTATTTGGTCTTTAATCTTACGTTTTCTTTCTCCCTTCATTTCATGGAGTTCCTTTAGAAGACTTCAATAGTAAAGTAACAATTTTCTTTCATCTTGCAACTTCCTGCAAACTAAGATACTCCATGAAACATTTCCTAGTTTCTACATGTAGGATAACAAAACTTGGGATCACATTAAATCTTGATTCACTAACCAATTTAAGATCTGATTTCTCCCCTTAGGAACTTTGGATTATGAACACTTTCATTTCATACCTCTTGTATCTATTTAGCTTTTCCTTATCTACCCAAGAAACGTTTTATCAAGTATCAACCACATGCCAGGCACTGAAGTTGATGCAAATGGAGGATATGTAAGGTATGGACAATGGTATGTGAGCTGTCATCTTACTGGATTTATTGTCTGCTCTGATGAATTAAAGATACTGTTCAGGGAATTCCCTGGCGGTCCAGTGATTAGGACTCAGCACTGTCACTCAACTGCCGGGGCCCGGGTTCGATCCCTGGTCGGGGAACTAAGATCCCAGAAGGCGGGAGGTGCGGCCAAAAAAAAAGATATTGTTCAGAAACATTATTCTGGCAACATTTAATTACATTAAAATTGAAACGAAGATAGGAAGACATGCCTGGAGGGGGCTTTAAAGCAAACACAGCTTTAAGACTTCCATGGTGGCGCAGTAGTTAAGAATCTGCCTGCCAATGCAGGGGAGATGGGTTCGAGCCCTGGTCCGGGAAGATCCCACATGCCGCAGAGCAACTAAGCACATGTGCCACAACTACTGAGCCTGCGCTCTAGAGCCCGCAAGCCACAACTAGTGAGCCCGCATGCCACAACTACTGAAGCCGGAGCACCTAGAGCCCGTGCTCCACAAAAGAAGCCACTGCAGTGAGAAGCCTGCACACCACAACAAAGAGTAGCTAGCCCCTGCTCGCCACAACTAGAGAAAAGCCTGCGTGCAGCAACGAAGACCCAATGCAGCCAAAAATATAATAAATTTTTTTTAAAAAACTATAATTAAAAAAAAAATAGCAAACATAGCTGTAAAGGTTGATCCGGGGACATCAGCCCTGTGGGACTCTCTTCTACAGATCTGTGCACGTGGGCACAGAGCATGGACAAAAGGGTGTTCACAGCAGCCTTGGCAGGCAGCCATCGAGAGAGGACTGGTTAAATAATCACAGCACATCCATGCTACCGAGTATTACGCAACTGTTAAAAAGAAGGCTGCAGTGCCATGATGGGGGTGACGTGTAAGACATTATAGATAGAAAAGCAGAATGTGTAACAATGCATAGCATGCTATAAAACTATGGTATTTAAAAAAAAAAAAAAACTGTGGTATTTTCAAATAACAGGTCTGAAAAGTTGTGTACTTTTCCCAAGCTTTTTTGCCATGTTACCACTGCCAAAGGAATTGGGGTCGAATTTGGCTTTTCTATTTTTTGCACACTCGCGTATGAAATTTTTACAACAAAGCTGCACTCCTGTAGTTTGAAAACTTTTCATTCAAATTTTGCATTTCAAAATAATAGACGTAAATTCAAACTGCAAGACTTATATGTCACGTTTCCTGGAATATATTGTAGCCTCCATTTTTGCGGGGGTCAGCTCCACCTCCAGGGGCACTCGTGAGTTATCAGGGTCAGGAGAAGCCCAGGAAGTGGTTTCCTTCCCGCACAGGGCTTCATCATCTCTAAGTGCCTTGTCTTTGTCCAGCAATGTGATTTGTTCCCAGCCTCCCCCTGAGACACAGTGTGAGGTTCATAGTTTTGAAAGAATTCGAGGAGAAAAATGGTTGTAGCATTAGAGTTGCAAACATAAGGCAGTTCGTTGGATTTTAGCCTGGGCTTTGCCAGGAAGGTCAGAGGACCTAAAGAGGAAGATGTTACTTTTTAAACTCAGTATAAAACCCAAATTCTGGGAAGTAACAAAAGTGTGTCAATAACAAAAGCTTCTGAAAAAATAGCTCTGCCTATTTGGAAAATGTTTTTGGCTTCATAAAGTAGTGGTAGAGACCTGTAGGCAGTTTAAGTTAAATTGTCAAGACCAGAAAGAATTATGTTTGAGAGTTTGGGGAGATTATGAAATGATTATTACCCTAATGATTTGAAGGGTGTGTTTTTATTAAAGTATTAATCACTTACATGGCTTTAAACACGAATATCCTAGGCAACAAAGGGTTAGAGCTCTTAGCTGGGTGGGCATGCTACAAATTAGGTCCTGTAAGTGGAGCATTGCATTAGAATGGAGGTGTTGCAATCTTTTGGATATTTGCTCTAATCGTTTTGCCCTCTAAATTAAAAATGTAGAGTGACAGGAAATTATCAGCAGGGATTACCTATTTTCCCCTTACCAGGTTAATTACAAACGTACCCGCTCTGGTATGTCTTCAACAGACAGTGGCCTTTTACTGAAATACAATAGTCAAATTACAAAATACGTTTCGTAAAACAAATCTAAAAATGCATTAATTTCCACTCATGTAAGAGCAAAGGGGGAAAATCTTTAAAATTTTAATAAAAATCTCGATACAAGCTTATGATTCATTTCAGAACTTTCAGAACTGCTTTTTATTATATGATAGTCTGAACTATCTAAAATATTATGAGCTACCACCTATCTTCCAGAGACTTCTTTCCTGCTTCTCAAACCCATCCTCTGTAATATATGCATGTTTGTAATGACCACAAAACTGTAAACTGAGCATTTTGTGACATCTCTTGGGGAAGGTGGGCGATGACCTTACATGATTTATTACTTTCTATTGAGTTTCAGGAAGGCAGGAGAGTTTTTATTTCAGAGCCACGTGTGGTAGCCAGTCTCCAAGATGGCCCCCCATGATCCCTGCCTCCTGCTATTCCCACCCTTGTGTTGTCCTCCCACAGCGTACCAAGGTTGGTCCATATGACCAAGAGAACACAGCTGAAGTGATGGTATGTCACTTCCCAGATGAAGCTATAAAAGACTATGGCTTCCATCTTGGGCTTTCTCTCTTTTGGAACACCTCTGGGGGAAGCCATGTTGTGAGCAGCCCTATGGCCCACATGACAAGGAACTGAAGCCTCCTGCAAACAGTGTGAGTGAGCTTGGAAGTGGATCCTCCAGCAAGTCTTCAGAGACTGCAGCCCCAGCAGGCAGCTGAGAGACCCTAAGGCAGAAGCACCCAACTAGGCCCCTCCCAGGTTCCTGGCCCTACAAAATTGTGCGAGATATTTGTTTTTAAGTTCTTTTAAGCTAAGTTTGGGGGTGATGTGTTACACAGCAATAGATAACTCATACACTGTCACTTTCCAGAGTTTGTTTTTCCCCCTGTATGCAGAATGTGAAATGCAGAAACTGCCTACAAAGAGGACTACTGCTTAGATGCCACAGAAGGTAAAGTTGTGCCTGTCTTGTCCAAAACCTGATGTCTTCAGAAAATTTCAGAGTTGTTTTCAGTATCTTTGCATTTGAAATCTTTAACAAAAGTAGGGGTTTTGATCACATACATGGGGGTTCCCCAGGAGACCACCCTGGAACTTCCCGCATTCTCCAGAGGGAGGGGGGATTGGGGGTCAAATCCTAGAGGGCAGCCTCTGCTGCAGAGGTAATGGCCTTACACCCAAAGCCCCACCCTTCTCTTTTCCCTCCTCCTGCTCCCAAGCAGAGTCCTTTAGCACCCATAGGATTCCTAGGGGGGATACCCTGGGCTAATACTGTTTACCACTGACCCTCACCCTCACCCCTAGCTACAGTGCAACACAGGGTGATAGGTTCACCACCTTTACAAACTGCCAGGTCCCCCATTTTTAGGCATGAGGAAAAGAGGAAAGGATAATGATCTTGTCGTTTTTATTTTCTGTTTACCTAGAATTCAGGGTTGACAGCCACTGACCTGAGTTGTTTATTTATCCTGATTCCATTGAAGGTTCTGTCATTGCTCCCGGTCACCAACAGATTCTAGGTTCTCTTGCTAAGTACTCCTTAAAAGTCTGAGCTGGATTTCACTGAATTCATTTAAACGCCCTTGGAAGTATTTCCCTGAGTAGAAGTAGCCCTTGGAATTTTTTGGTGTACAAACGTTGTGGCTTATCTGGCCCGGACACCCGAAACAAGTAACAAAAGCATGTTCCCAGGAGAGCTTAAAAAAAAATAAATTAGCTAAGTTGAAGTGTCTTTCGTTCAGCCTTCCTCCCCTACATAAACTAACCCTCGAGTTGCAGGTCCCGTGGAGAGGAAGACTAGCCAATCTACCCTCACCTTCTAAAAACCATTTTATTTCCCTGTCACGAAATAAACAACACTCAACAGCTTCAGTTCTGTGCTATTTGCCATTTTTTATTAACAGAACTGCAGGTTTCAATCAGATTCGCACTGTTTCAGAGTCAAAACCAAACTTTGTATTGATCTTTTCTTTAGGAAGAACAGTTCAGTGCTTGCAAGCTGCAAAGATTTGATAGGGCCCTCTCAATCATGTTCTGGGGTCAGCGGATCGTAGTCGGTGACCTCCAGGCAGTCGCCGTCAGTCACAGGGTCTTCAGCTGCGGGGGTGGTAGCGGGGGTAGCGGCGGTAGAGCCGGGAGAGGCGACAGAGGCAGCAACGGCTGTGGCCGCCGTGGCGCCGCCGTAGTGGTACATCAGATAGCGGCCCCCCTGCACACTGCGCCACCACGTTGGTGCTGTGACACGCTATCAGCAGCAAGCTGCGAGGCCGTACGAGGTAGGCGAAGCGCATGAAGACCATCGAGTATAAGATGAACGCCGTCGTCATGCGGCCGCTGATGATGTCCGGCGGCGCCCACATGTCCTTGATGGCAGCCAGCGGGATGCCCCAGCTGGCCACTGGACCCCAGAAGTGCGTGCTGGTCACGTAATCCCGGAACTCCTTGGTCTTCACGATCTCCACCGCCCTCCGCCACAGTGCCGCCACCGCCGCCATGATCGCCGAGCCGTGGGAGCGCCAACGGATGAACAGCCTACCGACAACGCGGTGGAGCGCGAGCCCGGAACCGTTGATTACCCTGCGTCGGCCCGGAACCTCCGCCTTCGTGCGGCGGCCGTAAAGCGCGCTAGACAGCACGTGCCGCTGTCCTGCGTAGCTTTGGGGGCGGAGGCGCGGCCTCGCCCTCGTGCCTTCACGTTTCTGCCGTAAAGTGCACTAGATGGCACGTACAGCTGTCGTGCCTGTCTTTGGGAACGTGAGGCGCAGCCTCGCCCTCGTGCCTTCGCGTGACTGCCGTAAAGTGTGTATGCGTGTGCTTCTAAGTGAAGGTGGGATCACAGCCTCGTCCTTTGCTCCCCGTCGTGCTGTAGCCATCTGAAAGCTCCTCGCCCGGGGAGGCGAGGGTCCTGCTGACTGCGTCTCAGCTACACAGGGGGAAACTCTGTTCTCTCCAGGCTGTGGACAGCGTTGACTAGATGTTGACACAAAATTCTTCAGCCAGGTACAGAATTTTCTTTGCACAATTTGCCCGAGTATTACTTGCGAAGTGACATTTCACCTCTAAATATTCCAGCATCTGGCTCTTCACAAGGACATTCTCCTACAAACCACAGTACAATAATCCACTCAGATACTTAACATTTAGTACGGTACTATCATCTAATATGCAGTGCATATTTAAGTGTTATAGTTTTATGCCTTTTTTTTTTTCTTTATTGTTGGAAGGGGGAGATCCAGGATCCACTCAAGATTCACATTTAGGGCTTCCCTGGTGGCGCAGTGTTTGAGAGTCCGCCTGCCGATGCAGGGGACACGGGTTCGTGCCCCGGTCCGGGAAGATCCCACATGCCGCGGAGCGGCTGGGCCCGTGAGCCATGGCCGCTGAGCCTGCGCGTCCGGAGCCTGTGCTCCGCAACGGGAGAGGCCCCAACAGTGAGAGGCTCGCGTACCGCAAAAAAAAAAAAAAAAGATTCACATTTAGTTATCATTTCTTTTACATTAATCTGGAAGAGTTCCCCAGCGTTTTTTTGTCTTTTGTAACATTGATATTTTTGAAAAGTACAAGTCAGTGTTTTTTTCAGAATGTCCTTAATTTGGATTAGTCTGTTTTCTCTTAAAGTTAAATGTTTTTTGGCGAGAATACTACACACGTGTGGTTGTGTCCTTAGTGCATCACAGTGGGAGGCACGTGATATCACTTTGTTCTGTTATTGGTGATAGTTTGATCATTCAGTTGAGTTGTCTGCCAGATTTCTCCATTGTAAAGGACCTTTTCCTCTATGTAATCAACAGATAATCCAGGGGGAGCCTCTTATGAGAGTGTATGGATGCCTTTCACCTAATAGTTAATATCCATTGATGAAAATTCTTAATGACAAAACTGATGACTCTTTTCCCAGTGTTTTCTACCTTTTCCAGTAAAAGTAATGTGTTGAAAAGTAATTAAGTATACATTGAAATATTAATACTTTAAGTAGTGATTTATAAACAAGCCCATTATACCTTTAAAAATTAATACATTCATTATCTATGTTCATTTACATCTCAGATGTTTTACAAATATAGCTTTAAAATATACGGTATAGTCATTGTTCAAAAGGAAAGCAGCATCATTTTCATATAACCCTTTTAAAGCACTGGGCTTCCAAATATCGATGACTGGTATACTGGTGTGAGTCAGTTAAGTATACGTTTGAATTAATAAATCAGCAAGCATGAATTGACATTTTAGGCCTACCCTGCCAGATGCTCCAGTGTCCTAAAAGAAATGTCCGCAAGAAGCTATCAGTACTTGTAGATCGTCTCACATAGCTTGTTACTTGATTTTGATTACCTATTGCTGTGTAACAAATCACCCTAAAACATAGTGGCTTAGAACAACAACAATCCTTTATTTTACTTAAGAGATTTGCAATTTGGGTGGGACTCAATGGAGACAACGTATCTGCTCCATGCATGGCCAGCTGGGGCAGCTCAGCTTGACCCTGGAAGATCCACTTTCAAAATGATTCGCTAACAAGGCTGGCAAGTTGATACTGGTTGTTGACTGGGAACTCAGCTGGGACTATTAAAGCTGCTTGTGCTTCCTCACAGCATGGTGCCTAAGAACAGGTGTAACAAGAGAATCAAACAGAAGCTATGGGGTAGGCAGAATTCTAAAATGACCCCCGATGGCCCCTGCCCTTGCATAATCTCCTCCAGGTGTGGGCAGAACCTATGAATATGATTAGATATCACTCCCATGATTATATGACAAAAGGGAATTTGCAGATATAATTAAGGTCCCAAAGCAGCTGACCTTAACATAGGGAGATTCTCTAAGTGGACGTGACCTAATCACATGAGGTGTTTTGTTTTTTGTTTTTGGCTTAAGACAACAGAAGTTTATTTTCTCACAGTTCTAGAGACTAAAAGTCCAAAATTCAGCAGGGTCACGCTCCCTTTTGGGGCTGCCTCTTCCATCTTCTGGTGACTACAAGCATTCCTTGGCTTGTGGCCACAGTACTCCAGTCTTGGCCTCCATGGTAACATTGCCTCCTCCTCTTCTGTGTGTCTTCTCTCTGTCACATGAGCCATTTGAGTGTGGGTCTGGAGGTCAGAGACGGAGAAGGTCAGAGATTGAAAGTGTGAGAGGGATTTGACCTGAGGGAGATTCTCTATAGCTGGCTTTGAGCGTGAAGGGGGCCACGTGGCAAGGAATTTCGGCAGCCTCTAGGAGCTGAGGGCAGCCCCGGCTGAGTGCCAGCAAGGAGAGGCAGACCTCAGTCCTACAGCCACGAAGAACTGAATTCTTCCAACAGCATGCATGCCTTTTGAGACCCTGAGCAGAGAACCTAGCCATGCTGTGCCCGGAATTCTGACCTACAGACTGTGAGCTAATACGTGGGTGTTCTTTCAAGCCACTAAGTTTGTGATAATCTGTTGTGCAGCAATAGAAAACTAATATAAGCTGTATTTATTGGCTTTTATGATCTAGCCTCGGACGTCCCATAACATAACTTTCTCCAGACAGAAGCCCACCCAAACTCAACGAGAGCGGACATAGACCCACCTCTGTAAGGCAGGAATGTTCAAAGTCATACTTTTTAAGAAGAGCATGTGGGATGGGAAATATTGTTGGACCACCTTTGGAAACTACAGTCTACTATAGTCTTTAACTTGAAATCACATGACTATAGAACAATGGATCTCACGGATTGTCTGTACAACAGGGATGATAGTGGTATCTACCTCACAGCAGTATGGTGAGGTTTCAGTGTGTTCGTCCATGTTCAGTGCTTAATATAGGGCCTGGTGTATAAAAAGTGCTCAGTGAATTTTACCTGTTATCATTATTATCGTCCAGTCCAACCCTCTCAGTTTACAAATAAGGCAGGAAGCTTTAAGGAATTGTGTCATTTGCCACGGTGACTCGGTGAATTCATGGTAGACCAGGGTTAAGATTTCTTTCTCTCACTGTTTCTCTCTGCACAAATCACTTTAACGTCTGATGTGTTTCTGTCTTTCCAACTATGTTGTAAGTTCCCTTAGGCCAGCGAAAGTATCACCGAATGAAATACTCCTTCTCCCCACAAGCCTTTCTAATGTGTTGACTGGATTTGGCCCAAATTGAACAAGACAAGATCTGCCTGTTCAGAGGGGCATTTTAAAGCTAGAGAAACGGAGGTACAGACAACGGTACAGGCAACGTTTAAGTGACTTTCCTGGTAGATTCCCGGCTGGTAGATGCCTGGCTAATATAGTCTTTGTGTAAGGTTTGTGCCTGGTAGATATTTGTTGGTTGTTACAGTTGCAATGAATGGCCCAAATGGAGGGTAAGACACTGTAATGGAACTTGGGGAGACTTGAGAAGGATACAAGGCTAGGAATGGGCGAAGCTGTAGAGATTCCTACCTGGCAAAGATAGTGACAAAACAGTTTTAGGATTAGAGAGCATCAGTAATGCTGTCCTGGGATTACCCTTCCCCACAGGGAAATGAGGCTGCTGTATATTTCACTGTATTTTAATAGATGAGACTAAGCAGCTAAAGGTTTATTATTATTATTGATAGTATTTCTTTACCATTATTATCATTTCTACTCTCTGTGCCAACATAAAGCTCTCAGGGCCTACTGTGTGGCTCCACCTTGAGACACATGAACATGGAGGGCAAGTTCACTGTCATCTTTCAAAGGAAAACGCTGGGAGAAGACTGGCAAATACTAAGATTCCCAACTTTCCCCAGTCTACTGAAAACTTGCCATCGCATACTTTCTTCTAACGAAGATTCCAGGTTTACAGGTCTCATGACATTTTGCTGGACGTTAAGGATCCGGACCCACGTGACCGCTCAGTGAATTCCAGGGCACTGGACCATGGAGAGCACACCTTTTGATTTTAATTTATTTTCTTTTTAACTTCTTATTCTGAAATAATTTCACATTCACAGAAAAGTTTAAATAGTTTAAAACAAGAATGACAAAGCAAGAAGTGTGAAAAGAACTCATGTATATCCTTCGCCGAGATTTACCAACTGTTAACATTCTGACACATTCGCTGTATGGTTTTCTTTGCCCCTAAGAACTTCAGAACTTCAGTGTCTTTTTCCTAAGCATGCAGACGCTCGTGGACTTTCTCTTACGTTACCGCAACATACCCATCAACAGCAAGGCGTTTACCGTTGATACAGTACTGTAATCTACAATCCTTATTCACATTTTGCCAATTGTCCCAATAAATGTCCTGTGTCACAATTTTCTGTTTCTAGTCCAGGATGCAGAGTGGGGTCACGCATTGCATTTAATTGTGATGTCCCTGTAGTCTCCTCTAATCTACAACAGTTCCTCCGCCTTTCCTCAGCATTCATGACCTTGACACTTCAGAAGAGTACAGGCCAGCGGTTTGATAGAATGTCCCTCAGTTTGGGTTCCCTTGATGTTTTCTCACGACCACGTGCAGGGAGTTCATGTTTGGCAGGAGCCCCGCAGAAGTGACATCCTGTGCCCGGCGCGGCACCTTACCAGGCACATGATGGCCATTAGTGAGACGAAGGTGGCCTTCTGGTGACTAGTGGGAGCAAGGTAATGTTCACTAGGTCTCTCCACTGTAAAGTCAGTATTTTCCCCTTTGTAATTGATAAGTAATTTGTGGGGAGATACTTTGAGACTATGTAAATATCCATTTCCTCATCAGATATTTTAGCATCCATTGATGATTCTTGCCTGAATCAAGAATTACCGTAATGGGAGTTCCCTGGTGGGCCAGTGGTTAGGACTCGGCGCTTTCACTGCCGTGGCCCGGGTTCAGTTCCTGGTTGGGGAACTAAGATCCCACAAGCCTTGCAGTGCGTCCCCAGGGGTGGGGGGAAAGGATTACTGTAATGATGACAGCATTTAATTAATTTATTTATTTTTGGCTGCGTTGGGTCTTCGTTGCTGCACGCAGGCTTTCTCTAGTTGCGGCGAGCAGGGGCTACTCTTCGTTGTGGTGCGCGGGCTTCTCACGGCGGTGGCTTCTCTTGTTAAGGAGCACGGGCTCTAGGTGCACAGGCTTCAGTAGTTGTGGCTCGCAGGCTCCGTAGTTGTGGCTTGCGGGCTCTAGAGCACAGGCTCAGTAGTTGTGGCGCACAGGCTTTGCTCCGCGGCATGTAGGATCTTCTCGGACCAGGGCTGGAACCCATGTCCCCTGCATTAGCAGGGGGATTCTTAACCACTGCGCCACCAGGGAAGTCCTAGCAGTTTATTTTTTAAATGATTTTCTGTCTTGTGGTTTAAAACAAAAATCAGAGATTGTATTTCATTAGAGCTTCCCTGGAATGCTGGCCAACATTTATAAAACATAAGACTATTCCTGAATTATGGCTATGAAAACTGAACATTTAGGATTTAGGTATTTTATGAAATTGTTTTTGGCCACATCTTATGCTGATTTCCTCGGAATATTTGCTCTCACATTGTACCAAAGGGAATCAGTAGCACCGTGCCTCGAGAGAAGCTGGATGAATAAAACAGTAGGCGGGGGCTTCCCTGGTGGCGCAGTGGTTGAGAGTCTGCCTGCCAGTGCAGGGGACACGGGTTCGAGCCCTGGTCTGGGAGGATCCCACATGCCACGGGGCAACTAGGCCCACGAGCCACAATTACTGAGCCTGCGTGTCTGGAGCCTGTGCTCCGCAACAAGAGAGGCCGCGATAGCGAGAGGCCCGCGCACCGCAGTGAAGAGTGGCCCCCGCTCGCCGCAACTAGAGAGAGCCCTCGCACAGAAATGGAGACCCAACACAGCCATAAATAAATAAATAAAAATTAAAAAAAAAAAACAGTAGGCGGATATATTGGCTCTGCTATTTTCAGTTACCGCAAAAAGTAATTTTAGAGCCATCTGTGGTCCTGATTCTAATCTTTTGCCTTCTTATGCCGTTTTTCCCCCCCTACACATGTGAATACAGTGGCTGAAGCCTGCGTGGTTATGCAGCGTCTTCCAGTAGCTAAGAGGACGTCAATTAAGTGTGTTATACCTCCGCTTCTCTAGCTATAAAACGCCCCCTGTGTCCTGGTCTGGTCTGGGTCCCTCCGTGCAATTGAGTGGCAGGAGGGGATCATTGGGTCCGGCCCCCAGTGGACCGTGGCTTCCTCCACATCTTCTGTTTCATGTCTGCCTTATTCCTGTGTCCTCAGATCAGGTCGGTGGTGAAAGAAGCAGAAGGCTGCAGGCCTTCCTCCCCCTCCCCTGCCAGGGCCTCATTCGCAGCGTCCTGTCACCGGAAATAGGTCAGTGCCTACTCCTCACACATAGTCTTGGCGCCGGAAATGAAAAAACCTTTTGTTAACCTTTTACTGAAAGGATCATCAAGTATTTTAAATCTGTGAAAATTTGGATATTTTAAAACTTTGTTTTGAAAGCGTTTCACACTTACAAAAAGGTTGCAGGAATGCAGAGAATTCTCATATACCCTTTCCTGAGATCCACCAAGGTCGGATTCTATCCGGGAAGCAGGGCCGCTGGGTGAGAAGGGATTTGTTGCAGCGAATAGACGGGACGGAGCTGGGGATGTTATGGGGGAGGTGGAGGGAGGAAGAGTCGACAGCCGGTCAGTGTGAGGAGCCAAAGTGGGGCCTGGGCCCTGAAGGGAGGCTGACCAGGAGTCTAGTGCTGGGCCTGGGGAGAGGCGCTGGGGTCAGCCCCGCAGTCAGGGGGACGCGCTGGCCACGGAGCAGAGAAGAGAACAAGCTGGAGTCCACCAGCACCTCTGTGCCTGCCTGCCTGCCTGCCTGCCTTCCACTGCGTTTAACCCCGCCGCCTTCTGAGAGTCAGTTTCCTTCTGCTGCAAACCTCTTGCAGTGATGTTTGAGCCAGCTCTTCCCTGGAATCGCGCGGGGAAGGCGATTCCAGGAACCACGGTCCGGCTCAACTGGGTTGACACAGTACCAACCACTGCAGCCAAGTTGAAACTTTGCCATGTTCGTTTTATTGTTCTCTTTATAGATGTGCATGTGTATATGTGTGTGTGTGTATCTATATATGTAATATATTTATATATAATCCAAACACACATTACTTTTTATCTGAACCATTTGAGAGTAGGTTGCAAACATCATTTTGCTTTACTCCTTAATACTTCACTGTGTATTTCCTAAGAACAAAGATATTCTCTGATGTAACCACAGTATAGTTATCATTGATGAAATGTTGTATACAATATTTCATGTAATTATAGTGCACATTTCAGTTTTGTCAGTGGTCCCCAAAATGTCCTTTATTGCATTTTTTCTCTTCAGTACAGGACCCATGCAGGGCATTTAGTAGTCCCCTTTCATCTGGAACAGTTCCTCAGCCTTTCTCTGTTTTTCATACCATGGACATTTTTGAAGAGCACAAACCAGTTATTTTATAGACCGTTCCTCAGTTGGGGCCTGCCTGATGTTTCCTCACAGAGTCACATCTCAGCCAAAATACTGTCAAAGTGATCTGTGTCCTTCCCAGAGTATCACATCCAGAAGCGCGTGTCTGTCTGCCCCTCACTGGTAATGTCCATTTTCATTACTTAGTCAAGGCATTGTCCAGTTTCTCCACTGCAGAGATACGACTGCCCCTTGCAGCTAATAAACGCTCAGTAGATAATTACTTTAAGACTATGTAAATATCCTGCTCCTTGTCAGACTTTCTCTCCCATAGATTCAGCGTCCATCTTCTCCAAATCAATATTTACTGTGATGGATGCAGAGTGGTGATTTTCCAGTTCCACCAGTCCTTCCATGTATATCCGTCAGCGTTACTATAAGGAAGACCCTCCCTTCTCCCTCCATTGTTTGTTTGTTTGTTTGTTTGTTTGTGCTGCACCGCTTGCGGTATCTTAGTTCCCCGACCAGGGACCAAACCCGGGCCCTTGACAGTGAAAGTGCCGAGTCCTAACCACTGGACCGCCAGGGAATTCCCCCTTCTCCCCCTTTTTATATACTTACCTATTATTAAGGTGGTCTCATGGATTCCTACTTTATTCAGTGGGTTATAATCCTTTACTGTCCCCTTAATTTGATGCCCTAATCAGCCCATGTTTGGTGGGATTGACAGCCCCTTGAAGCTGTCTCCTCTGACCTTTCAGCATTAAACTCCACAAAAAGATACACCCTGCAAGGGCTGTCTTCTTCCCGATTTATTCCGTGCTGTCCACCCCCATCCCCAAACTTATAGGTAACTAACTACATTGTTTTCTGGTTCATCCTTCCTGTGTTTCCTTTTGCAAAAGTGAGGAGATACGTGCATATTTACTTATTTCCCTTTCTTACACAAATGGGAACAGACTGTTTAAAGTCCTTTTCACTTTACAGTATATCCTGGAAACCACCCCACATCACCTCCCACAGATCTTCCACATTCTTTTTTCTACGGCTGTGTAGTACTCCATTGTGTGGGTGTATCATCGTTTGTTTAGCCAGTAGCCTTGATTTGGACACTTGGGTAGTTTCTACTGTTTGGTGAGTACGAATAATGCTGAATATCCTTGTGTCTGTATTTTCTTGTTACTGGTGTATTTTAAGAGGAAGGCCCTAGAAATGGTACTGCTGGGCCAAAGGGTAAATACAAACCTAGTTTTGCCAGATATTGACAAATTCCCCTTCCATTTTGCATTCTCACAGTGTTTAAGAGTGTCTGTTACCGCACAGCCTTGTCAACAGTATATTGTCAAGCTTTAGAACGTTTGCTAACCTCATAGATGAGAAGTGGTATCTCACTGTAGTTTTTTCTAATAACAGCTGTATTGAGGTACAGTTCACGTACTGTACAATTCACCCATTTGAAATGTACAGTGGTTTTTAGTGTTTTCACAGAGCTGTGCCATCATCACGGTAATCAATTTTAGAACATTTTCGTCGCCCCAAAAAGAAACCCCTTACCCATTAGTAGTCCCTCCTCATTGTCCCCTCCCCAAAGTCCCTGGCAACCTCTCAACTCCTTCCTGACTCTAAGAAGTTGCCTATTCCGGACATTTCATATATGTGACATTTAGGTCTGGCTTCTTTCATTTAGCGTTATGTTTTCAAGGTTCGTCCATGTGGTAGTGTGTGTGTCAGTACCTCATTCCTTTTTATGGCAGAACACTCTTCTACAGTGTGGAGAGACCACATTGTGTTCATCCATTCTTCAGTCGATGGGCATTTGGGTTGTTTCCGCTTTTTGGCTGTTGTGAATAGTGCTGCTGTGAACATCTGTGTACAAGGTTTTTGGTTTTTTTGTTTTTTTAATTGAAGTATAGTTGATTTACAATGTTGTGCCCATCTCTGCTGTACATCCAAGTGTCTCAGTTATACACATGTAGACATTCTTTGTTTGTATCCTTTTCCATTATGGTTTATCACAGGGTATTGAATATAGTTCCCTGTGCTGTACAGTAGGACCTTGTTGTTTATCCATCCTGTATATGCTAGTTTACATCTGCTAACCCCAAACTCCCAGTCCTCCCCTCCCCTCGGCAACCACAAGTCTGTTCTCTAGGTCTGTGAGTCTGTTTCTGTTTTGTAGATAAGTTCACTTGTGCCATATTTTAGATTCCACATATAAGTGATATCATATGTTATTTGTCTTTCTCTTTTTAACTTCACTTAATATGATAATCTCTGGTTGCATCCATGTTGCTGCAAATGGCATTATTTCATTCCTTTTTGAGTAGTATTCCATTGTGTGTGTGTGTGTGTGTGTGTATATATATATATACCACATCTTCTTTATCCATTCATCTGTCATTGGACATTTAGGTTGTTTCCGTGTCTTGGCTATTGTGAATAGTGCTGCTGTGAACATAGGGGTGCATGTATCTTTTTGAATTATAGTTTTGTCCAGGTATATGCCCAGGAGTGGGATTGCTGGATCATAGGGCGATTCTGTGTTTACTCTTCTGAGGAACCTCCATACTGTTCTCCATAGTGGCTGCACCAACTTACATTCCCACCAACAGTGTAGAAGGGGGTTCCCTTTTCTCCACACCCTCTCCAGCATTTGTTATTTGTAGACTTTTTAATGATGGCCATTCTGACTGGTGTGAGGTGGTGCCTCATTGTAGTTTTGATTTGCATTTCTCTAATATTAGTGATGTCGAGCATCTTTTCATGTGCCTACTGGCCATCTGTATGTCTTCTTTGGAGAAATGTCTATTAAGCTCTTCTGCCCATTTTTTGATTGGGTTGTTTTATGTGGTTGTATGTTTTCACTTCTCTTGGGTAGATCCCTAGGAGTGGAATGACTGGGTCATATGGTAACTCCATGTTTAGTCTTTTGAAAAACTGTCAGACTGTTTTTCCAAAGTGGCTTCAACGTCTTACATTCCCACCAGCAGTGTATGAGGGTTCCAGTGTCTCCGCAGCCTCAGTAACGCTTGTTGTTCTGTTTTTGATCGCAGCCGTCCTAGTTGATGTTCTCAGTGTAGTTTTAATTTGCACTCTTACTATGAGTGAATTTGAGGATCTTTTCACATGTTTAAGGGCCATTTTACTATCCTTTTAGGTGAATTGTCAATTCATGTCTTTGGCTTGTTTCTATATGGGAATTTTGGACTTTTCTCTCCTCTCATTTTGAAAGTTCTCTCTATATTAGAAATATTAGTACTTTATCTGTGAGGTATGTCGCAAATATTTTCTTCTTTTGTGGTGTTTTTAGCAGCATTACTCATAATAGCCTCACACTGTGAACGGGCATTTCAAATGTGGTCTACCCATTACTGGGATACTGTTCAGCAATAAAAAGGAAGGAAGTATGGATACATGCTATGACATAAATGGACTTCAAAAACCTGATGCCCAGTGAAAGAAGCCAGACACAGGAGACCACATGCTATATGATGTCGTTTATATAAAATATCCAGAAAAGGCAGATAATATAGAGACAGAAAGTAGAGTAGTGGTTGCCTGGCTCAGGGGATCAGAGTGCAAAATGGGATCAACAGTAAATGTGCATGAGGGATCTTGGGTAATGAGAAGGTTCTAAACTGATTTGTGGCAGTGTCGCACAGCTTGGTAAATTTACTGAAACATCATTGAATTGTACACTTGAAATAGGTATGTTATATGATATCTAAAATACACCTCAATAAAATTAGAAAAAAAATTATATTTTTAGATAGTAAAATTTATCAACCTTTTCTTTCATTGCATCTGGGTTTTGAGTCAAGTTGGGAAAGCTGTTCCCTACACTTGGGCCGTTGAAGAAATTCACCCTGTTTTCTTCCAATACTTGTATGGTTTCTTTCTCTCTCTTTAAAATCTAGATCTCTCACCCATTTGGAGTTTGTTCTTGCGTGTGCTGGGAGATAAGAGATCTAGTTTTATCTTTTCCCATTTGGAGTTTGTTCTTGCGTGTGCTGGGAGATAAGGGATCTAGTTTTATCTTTTCCCAAATGGGTGTCCTGTCGCCCCGACATTTATTCAAAAGTTCACCTTTGCCCAGTGATTTGAGATGCCACTTCTACCATATACTAAATTTCTGTATGTACTTCAGCCTATTTCTAGACTTTCTGTTCTATTCCATTGGTTTGTCTATCAGTGCATCAATACCATACTGGTTTTTTTTTAGTGGAACATTTTATTTTATTTATTTATTTATTTTTGTGGTACGCGGGCCTCTCACTGTTGTGGCCTCTCCCATTGCGGAGCACAGGCTTCAGACGCGGGCTCAGCGGCCATGACTCACAGGCCCAGCCGCTCCGCGGCATGTGGGATCTTCCCGGACCGGGGCGCGAACCCGTGTCCCCTGCGTCGGCAGGCGGACTCTCAACCACTGTGCCACCAGGGAAGCCCTATTTTTTATTCTTTTTAATAGATCTTTATTGGAGTATAATTGCTTCATGATACTGTGTTAGTTTCTGTCGCACAATAAAGCAGATCAGCCATATGCATACACATGTCCCCATATCCCCTCCCTCTTGAGCCTCCCTCCCATCCTCCCTATCCCACCCCCGTAGGTCATCCGCAAAGCACCGAGCCGATCTCCCTGTGCTAATCTCCCTGTGCTACGCTGCTGCTTCCCACCAGCCAACTGTTTTACATGCAGTAGTGTATATATGTTGATGCTACTCTCACTTCGCCCCAGCTTCACCCTCCCATCCCATTTCCTCAAGTCCATTTTCTGCGTCTCCCTCTTTATTCCTGCCCTGCAACTAGGTTCATCAGTACCTTTTTTTTTTTTTAGATTCCATAGATATGCGTTAGCATAAACCATACTGTTTTAATCATAGAGGCTTTATGTTTTAATATCTGGTAGAGAGTTCACCCTTGTAACTTCTCCTTTTCACTGTTCTCTTAGTTTTTCATATATAAACTTTAGGATCAACCTGTCTAGCTCCATAAAAACATTTTTATTTTCATTAGGATCACATTAAATTTGTTAATTAACTTAGGAAGAACTGACATTTTTATGATGTTGTTGTGGGTTGAATTTTGTCCACCACAAAGATATGCTGAAGTTCTAACCCCTGGTACCACACAGGGTGACCTCATTTGGAAATAGGGTCGTGGCAGATGTAAGTAGTTAAGATGAGGTCATACTGGAGTGGGCCCAGTACTAAGGGTGGGCCCTTAGTCCAATATGACTGTTCTTATAAAAAGGAATTCTGCCTCAAGTCTAGCATAGAAATACAGGCTTGAGTTTCCAGCCTGCTGGCCTGTGCCCACAATCACATGAACCAGCTCCTTAAAATAAATGTGCATGTATATATGTGTGTGTATATGTATTTTTCATATATTCTCTGGAGCACACCGACTGATATACATGTTGTTTTTCTATTCAAAAAGATGTCTCTTCATTTGTCTATTTTTGTGTCTTTTAAGAGTGGTTCAAAATTGAAACTTGGTTTCTATAGCCATGGTTTGAGATATAACATTCTGGGCTTGTATGTTCTTTCCTTGGGTTTCTTGACGATGCTGTTCCGCCCTCGCAGTACTTTGCATATTACACATGAGAAGTCTGACGCTAGGCAAATTTTCTTATTCATATAAGTAATTTGACCTTGTGCCTGGAAGCCCTGAAGATCTTTTGTCTTAAAAGTCTAAAATTTTAATGAGATATGTCTCAGAGTTGATAGATTAACGTCAATTTTCTGAAGTACATGGTGGGCCATTTCAGTATGTAGATTTAAATTTTTCTCTTATTTCTTGGATTAGAGTTTTAAAAAAAAGGTAATGTCACCAAAGATTAGACATATTGAGATCATGTGCCTCCTGACATCATGAGCAAATATCAAACCCACAATTTTATGGAGAGACATTCTGTAAACTCACTGGCCATTACTTTTTCAAAAGTGAACCAGTGGTCCAGTGGTTAGGACTCGGCACTTTCACTTGCTGGGGCCCCGGGTTCAATCCCTGGTCCGGTCCCTGGTCGGGGAACTGAGACTAAGGAGACAGGACAACTAAGTGCGAAATGCGCTCCTGAACTGCATCTGGGTCCAGTAAAAGGTCACTAGAGTAGGACAACTGACATAATTTACTAACCAAAGTTTGTTCCTATTATTTGCAACCAAGAAACGAGCCAGTACATATCAGTGGTACAGTGTTGGGCCCAAGCAGAGTTCCTTGAGTTTGGTACTATTATTATAGTTTATATTAAGCATTCACAAACCTTTGAGCATGTTATCCCACTGAATGCTGACTTTCACAAACCTGGAGTATTACCATCCCCGTTATACAGATGAAAAACTTTGATTCAGAGAGGATTAAGGGATTTGCCCAAGATGGTTCAGCTAATAAGTGGTGAATCGGATAACTGAATTCATCTTTATTTCAGTTACAGTGCTTCTTAACTAATGCCTTTTTCTGACAACTCCTTATTTTTCCAGGAAACCACTGCATAGTCTGTCGTGAAAAGGCTGGAAAGAAACCTACCTGAAGCCAAGGTTGGAAGGCCTGATGCCACTGCACGTTTTGGAAACTGTTGGTCGATCACCCATTAAAAAGTAAGTTTATGGCTTCCATATTATTTGGTACCAGTGAAAATGGATTCAGGATAGCAAAAGACAGCCAAAGAAAGTAAAAAATCAATTTTCTATTATTCTTAACAGAATTGGGCCATAGGCAGCATCTACGACATGTAGAATCTCAGATATTTTATAAACCTAGAATATTCCACCGATTAGATATAAAGTGACTGGGTTTTCTCTTTCAGTGTCAGTGGAATAGTCTGCCATGAGCCTGACTTTCCTGCCTCTCACACAAATCTTGACATCATGATTTATGTTCCTGAACAAATTAGACTTAAGAGCAAATCATCAGCAACAGGTATAATAATCTTGGCAGAACATTTATTTTAATTAACTGCTTTCTGCCTACCACAGATGGAAGGGTGCTGATGCCATTTACCCTGTAAGGATTAGTGCTGTCATGTTGATTTTTTTTTCTTTTTTCTTCTCCTAGAACTTAGTCTCATCAGTTTTAAATTACAAAGGCACTGGTTTACTTCATATTTCATCGTAACGATCTAACTTCTGTGGCAATATTTATATAATAAACTTGTGAAAGAAGAATGAATTTCAACTGCTCTGCAGCGTTGTAGATCCCTGTTCCCCAGACATAGGCCCTGTTGGGTTCCGTGGGGGTCAGAGTGTTTGCTGAAAATGCCCTCAGCCTCATAAACCTGGCAGGGGGTAGTGGTGGAGGAGGACACTTGAGTGATTTTAGGGCCATTAGTTTTTCTTTCCTGTGGAGTTATCAGCTTCACTGTTTACAGTTCAGTGAGAGGCAAAAAGAAAACAAAAATTTCCTCCACTCTATGGAAGTTTAACACTGTAACTGTCAACGGTATCCTGCAGTAGTGGTAGAAAACGCAGCTAAGTAGACTCTGTCTTCTCAGGTTATTTAGAAATGATTTGATGTTCTTTGCAAAGAAGAGGCAGACAGAGCTAATACTAAACCCAAGTAGGGTTCCAAAAGGTGAATATTACAACTCATTGATTGATTGTAGAGTAGGTAAAGGCTTAAGGGATACAGTTTTAAATTCTTATAGCTTACCCAATTAGATTTTTAAACTTCAGGATTATGTAGCTAAGTTACTTTAGAGTTGTGCTGCCCTGCCCCTGGGAAGGAAATTTAAGCCTTCCCTACCTGAAGTCTAAGTAAGTGTGAATTTATCACATATTTTGATTAGATTAAAACCCTTTTCAGTTAGGTTTTTACAATATAAAATAGATCTAATATTGAAATGACACAAATTTGGAATCATTTTTAACTTTATTTGCCACTCTTTATAGACATTGGTCCACTTCCACATGAAAAGTAGGGAGCATCTACTTCCACTTAGCATTCTGTAGAACAACCGGAGTAACGTACTTACTTACAAAAGGGGGAAAATTACTGAAATCATGCCCCACGATGTCCCCCAAATGTTTTTGGGTGTGTAATTACAAGCATCTATAACTCCACAAAGCTAGTTCCTGCTTCCATCAATGTAGTATCTACCTTTAATATCCACACCTGACCATTCGGATCACCAAACTTTCAGAAGAGGTTAAAAAACAGCTATAGTCTGTCAATCAGATGGAAGTCCAAATCTAAGTGACTATATAAGCGCACATACATAGTTTAGAGCTGCTTGAAGTTAAAGACCTTTTACTCGTTTCAGAGGTATTTACATTAAGACGTTCATAGTATACCAACAGTCCAATGATCACTTTCACCTGTCCTATGTAAGGAAGTAAGTTAAGCATTTTCAAATTCAGTGCATTTTCCCAACACAAACTGTCCTATATGAAATAAATATACATTTATTTCAGTGCATGTTTCCAAATATTAAATGGAATGAAATTATTAAATGGTTATATCAATCATAGTATTTGAGCATATTATATCACACAGCTATAATTCACTCTAAAAGAGCATCATCACAGGCACACAAAATAGAGAACACAAATCTGCTTTTTTTAATAATTTCATACTATCTACTTTACACTAAGAGATTTATTATAACGAAAACATTTCCAAACCCCTTTTCTAAGTTGGCATAAGGAAAGTTCAATCCATTCGAATCTTCTGGTTTGTCATCCTATAAATGATGCTATCGTATCCAGGATCCATGTTCCAAATATTGTAAGAGGTGATAATCACAGCCAAGGCCAAGGCGATCATTATCCAAAGTATCATGTTGAAAACCACTGGATATTCAAAATTATACTTATATGCGAGGTTATAGGTACTTGATGGGTCCTTCTACAATAAAGAAATCAAGAGGGAAGAATGTTAAGTTAGTTAGGAAATTATCCCAATTTGCTAGCTACGATTCATTTATCTAACAAACTATATTAATAAGTGGCATAAGAGCTCCTTTTATATTAGGAGGAACCAAGGAGGGGGAGCCTTCACAGAGAAGGTAAGCACACTGTTGGTGGAAGTATATCCAACTGCTTGCAACGCCGATAACTTGACAGTGTAAGTATAAGTATACTGTGATCCAGCCCGTTCACGCCCTGGGGAACACACTTAGTTCACGCCCTGGGGAACACAACACACTTGTAGATGTGTACCAAGACATGTGCAAGGATATCCATCAACGGGATGGATAATTGTGGCACATCCAGTGGAACACAGAGTAGTTCAGGTCATTTTACCAACTTGCATGGCTCTTAAAAACCATACTGAGCCTTTGCTCAGAGTAAAATACATATAGTATGATGTATGATTCTAGACAGGCAAAACCAAACATTATTTAAGGATAAATACATATGTATTAAAACTGTAAAGAAAAAGCCAGGGAATGGTTAACATAATATTCAGGAGAGCAATTACCTCTAGATGGGGAGGGTAAGGGAATAAGACAAAGACAAGAGGGAGCTTCAGAATTACACGTTACATACTTTTTGTATGCTGTGTGTGGAAGGTGTGTCCTGCCAGGGAGGTTTTACATTTGCTTCTGCTGGAAGCCACCGGTCTTACCAGCCTGGGGCTGAGGTTTGTGTCAGTTTCTTGGCCTGGGGCTTCCTAGAACTTGCCGATAGTATAAATTTGAGCCTCAAACCCACATAAAGGTGGCCCTGTGGTTAAGGATTCCCTAGGAGACATTCCACCCCCAGCACATACCCCGACTGCACAGCCCCCAAGCTGCCTTCCTGTCTCCTCCTGCTGGCAGGCTGTTTTCTAGTCTGCCCTCTCACTGCGGGCACGGCCCTTTCAGGGTCCCAGCTTCACGGGGAGGCGTCAGTTCCAACTCCCCACAGAGAGCCAGTTGCTCGGTAACCCAACTGGAAATGTTCCCAGGACAGCCTAACACAGTTCTCCAGTTCCCTTTCTTTAGTTGCTCCTTAAGAGTTTCCCTTACTTTTTTTTTTGAGAGTTAAACTGTAAACTGTGCGTTCAAGAGGGTGTTTACTTTTTATCCACTATTTCTAGCTCTGGAGTCGGTTTGTCTAGCCTGCCATGCTGTCTTAAACAGAGGTCTTCCACTCCGAGACAATCGCAAACCAGTCACGTCTAGATTATCTTCAACACACGCATTACTTTGAGCATCTCACTCGAAGTCCCACACAGCGACTGGTAAAACAGGAGAGTGCGGGCTGCAGAATGGACCCAAAGGAGAGGGTCCATAAACGACTGGGAAGCCGCCTGCTCTGAGAGATGAAGCCAGCTGTAAGTAATGTTCTTGGCCGTGTGCACACACACGCTTGTTTTACTAGGGCTGGCACCCTTGCCTATGATCCTAAATGCTTAAAAATCAAAGCAAGATCCAGGTCAAAAAATAGAGAGTGTACGTAGCCGGAAAGTGGGAGACTGTACCAGTAAGACAATGTACCTCTGAGATGAGAAAAGCAGACTCCACAAGTTGAGAGCGCCACACCACTCCCTCACGTTAACTTCTGAGGTCTCCTTGTAATACCCATATTTGAATTACCTTATGGGCTCTGACACGTTTGCTGTTATCCCTAACAAAGTCTCGCATCCCTACCAAAGTCTTGCATTATCTGATTACAACCCCAAAGAACTGAGCATCACTGGCAAAACACATACCTACGTGAATAAGAAACCTACGTTTTAATTTTTTCAGATTTACTGGACTGCTCATTCATACTGCCCACGAGTGATACAGGATTTAGTGGGGTTTTTAGAGTTAATCTAAAAACGTACTCACCGCTTGTTTTGCCTCAAGGATAGTCCTAGTCTTCCTCGCAAGGGATGTGTCGAACGATCTGACAGTCACTAACTCTACCACTGCATTCCCACCGTAGAGACTGTACATGTCATCTGCAAACTGAAGAGTTACTGACGTTACGACGTTACTATGAATCTCAAAACACATACTTATTTAAAATTTTTGTAAAGCTTCTGTGCACTACAAGAACAAATACAATACAATTACCTACTGGCTCATGAAATACACTGTGTCTTAAAACAGGCAAGTCTTAAAGGTTTAAATATTCAGAAAAGTGTTAAGATTCAACGTATAAACGTTCAAAATAAAATTACTTCCAGAAAGGAGTAGTCACTGAATTTGTTGGTGTATAAGTTGGGGGCAGGGAAGTAGGAAAAATGAAATCTTTGTTGTCTCTGGTTGATTGCAAACATCTACAGAGATTTAACTATGAAGCCTCACTGAAGAGCTGCAGGTGAATAACGTCAAGGGCAGAAGAAAACTAGCATTTACTAACTAGCATTTACTAGTATCTGCTAAATGTCTGGTACTGTGCTAAGTGTTCTCCTTCGGTTATTTCATAGGGATTAACGGGGACAGAGTTTCAGGGAAGCTGAAAGTTCTGGCGATGGATGGTGGTACAGTTGCCCAACAATGTGAATGTCCTTAGTGCCACAGAGCTGTATATATATACTTAGAAATGGTTAAATGGTAAATTTATGTTCGATATATTTTACCAGAGACAGCCCTGGGATTTCCCTGGTGGTCCAGTGGTTAGGACTCGGCACTTTCACTGCCGGGGCCTGGGTTCGATCCCTGGTCGAGGAACTAAGATCCTGCAAGCCGCTTGGCAAGGCCAAAAAAAGAGACAAAAGACAGACATCCCAACATACACCTGTGACCTACTCCATCCTCGGTCACTGAAATTAGAGGGCCCTCAAAGAAGGTGAGTAAAAAGACTTCAATCAATAGTATTTCACTAAGCAGATTTTTCCCTAAAAGTCAAATGCTCTAACTGCTCACACCCCATTCACTGATGGTTTACCTTTTGTAGAGCATCAACAAGGATCTTAGAAGCATCTCTAAATTGTTCAGAGTCTTCCCCGTAACGTTTCCCAATTTCGTCCAAACCTGCCAGCTCCAGTGAGTATAAATCAGGAGAATGATCCTTGGCTAGATGCTTATGTCGAGACAACTTAGGAGAACAAACAAAAGGAAATAGATGAAGTATTGTCAAACACAGCCAGTTGGAGTTTTACACCTAACTAAACTAGGCAGAAACACCCCAGGGTACCACAACAGTCTAGAACGGTGGCAAACAGAACTGGTTAAAATGGGAGTTTCTGATAAAACAAATCCAACACAAATCTCATTTTTTAGGAGCAGTTATAATAAAAGCTCTTTTAAAAATTTCTTAGTTTAAAAACCTCAGGTACGGGCCAGGGTATGAGAGAGCAGATGGTTGGACCAGATTGATCCCGGAAGAGACAAGCCATCAGTGCTCACAGAGCAGTCACCTCCCACACCACCAGCACTACACTTCCACACTCCCCAAACCAACCCCACTGAGAGTTTGGGCAACAACTTCAGAAGACAGCACACGGGTAAGATTTTCTATTTCATCATAGGAGGGTTTTTTTTTAAAAAAGTCATTCACCAAAAATATACATATATATATATATATATATATATATATACACTACAGGCATATATATTCCCTTCCTGCCTTGGTCGACTGCATTATTAGTCCAAACTGTTTAAGACATCTGACAAGAAATCAACAGGTCAGAAGCCTGTGTTCTTGGAAGATATATTAATACTTACTATCCCTCCTAAAGGTAGAAATGCAAAGTAATTTGTTAACATGAGATGAGTTCAAACTTCCCAACACCACTGCTGATTTCTCAACTTTCATGGAATCATAAATCTAGGGCACATTAAACTTTTTGACTGGTGTTACTATCATTCACTATCATTCAAGGACTCTCTAGAAATGTCTTCTGGAACCAGAATAAATGGAACTGAAAAATTAGAGAAGCCTACTTACCAGACTTGAAATATCATGTAGCACTTGCAGTTCAGAAAGAAAAAGCAGATCAACCTGCAGAGAGCAGAAAGAAATGAGCATTATTTTATTTTATTTATTTATTTTTTTTTTTGCGGTACGCGGGCCTCTCACTGTTGTGGTCTCTCCCGTTGCGGAGCGCAGGCTCAGCGGCCATGGCTCACGGGCCCAGCCGCTCCGCGGCATGTGGGATCTTCCCGGACCGGGGCACGAACCCGCGTCCCCTGCATCGGCAGGCGGACTCTCAACCACTGCACCACCAGGGAAGCCCAACAGCTTTATTTTTGATAAAGCTGCATCTAAACTCTAAACTGGTTTTCCCTCAGGGCATCAGAATATTCTGGCGCACTGCAACGAGGTCCTGCCAATAGCCTACTTTGCTCACATCCCTTGAAGAATAAAAGATGGTGGTGGTCCTGGTCATCCAGAGTAGGTGAAGAAGGGAGGCTACCACAAAGGTGGCATGCCATGTGGTTAAGAGGGTGCATGAACAGGTGGTGAAGCTGGCATACAGGAGCCAAAAGTAAGGGTGGTGCCCTCCACTGTACAGTCAAGAATGAATTAGAAAAATGAGGCAACACATCAAAAGTGGCACTGAATAATGGCTCCCACATTACCAGGTCCACACAGCTCTACCAACTAGTTACTGTGATTTCTGGCCTGTCAGGATTAATTGGTGGTGGCAACCCTTGCGCTAGAATGTAGTGCTATTTATTACTACAGATCAGCTCACAAACAGAGTCAATTCATTCATGAGATTCATTTTTTAAAAATTACACTAAAGGAAAAAAGAATCTAAGCAAGCAATAAACTTGCAAAACTTTTCATTTTCTAAAATTTCAAGTTTGCTGTAAAGTCAGGAGCATAAGAAATGGGAAATTACTAATGATGTTCATTTATTCATTCAATGATGTTCATTTATTCATTCAGTGATGTTCATTTATTCATTCAGTGATGTTCATTTATTCATTCAATACTTACTTCATTGTTCCTACTCAGAGAATTGAGGGGAAGTGAACTGAGAACAGAGTTTTCTTGAAATAGTCGATTGCGGAGCTGTCTTAGTGTTACTGAGAGATCTTCAAAAACCGAGTTTGCCTTCCCCACCATGTACACTCTCTGCAAGAATCCAAAATTTTGTTACATTCTACAGATTAATTCCAATATAGAGGTCTGTCAGCATTTTTCATAAAATTAGTTTTAAATTTTCATTAAATAAAAGCAAGCTTATTTTTTAAAGCATTTAAAATAAAACACTTACTTCCTCACTGGGAGCCAACTGTAAAACTACAGGAGTTTCTTCAGAAAATAAGGAGTGAATGGAATTTGCAACGCTGTCAAGACTAAAAGGAACTGCCTGAAATTTAATAGTGAGATATTATTATCAGAACCAAAATGGGAAGAAAAAATCATTTACATAGCATTAAAAAAGGAGGCTTAAAAAAAAAAGTACCAGCATTTTCTATGGAAATTCAAAAAATCATATCCAAACGCAAAGAGCCCTTTTGGGGGCACAAGAAGATTAAACAGCCCCCTAGTGGGCCAATGAGTTTGTGTCTCCAAATGTGCCTATATGAGAAAAAACGTGCAAAATAAAGGACAAAACATTACCTTCCACAAACGACCATTTTCTGGTGGTCATTCAGGTATTTTAAGCAGCAATACATCTGGTTTCAATATTGATAAAATGTGCCACAATGAATGTATATTCTACAATAATGATAATGTATTAACTTGCATTTAAGTATTAACTTGCATTTAAGAGAAGGTCAAAAGAATTTGAAGACTTGAATATAATTGAAAGAGACCATTTTTCATTTCAGAAAAAAATGTTTATAAGATGTATGGTTTGGTCTTCAGATAGACTGAAGACTCAGGCAAGGCATAAAGTATGTCACAAGAATTCTGATGTGAAATTTATCTTGGGAACACATGGTATTAATAAACCGAAATAGCTAATTGTGATAAAATGTACTTTTTTCCGTGAATTTATTATTAAAGTGAAACATACACATAATATGGTGCACAGATCTTGGAGTCAAAGCTCAAGGAATATTTACAAATGGATATGCTCATATAAGCCAACCAGAGCAAAACAAAACATCAGCGCCCTACAAGCCTCTCTCCCCACTCCCTCCACCCCCAGGGGTACCCAAATTCTGACGTCTATTCCCATAGACCTGTTTTTGCCCCACATTATTTTTTTAAATAGATTATGGTAATTTTCCCCTCAAAAACTTATTTTATTCTTAATATTATTACAACAAGCAGTACAGTAGTAATGTTTTTGTTTTAATGGAGATTTCGTACAGTGATTTTTTTTCCCAGTAATTCCCTTTACTATTATTAAAAGGTTCATGTGTATATAAGGAGCTCGTTAACGTGGGCCAGGCAGAAATAAATGTGATTAATAAACGTGAAGTGTAATCTATTTTTACTCTTACACAAGATGCATACTAACTCTTCCCCAAATTCTCTTAAAATAAGTTAATGAGTAACTGAAGAAGGGGAAGAGTTCCAGCTTGCAAAAGCATCCTGTTACAAGCTCCCTGAGTCAGCCACAAGTGCTCCTCCTTTTGCAAGCACACACTTCACTTCCTTGGGCTTTGGAAGGAATACGAGAACATGTAACAAACTCTCCAGCCTCATTTCACCTCAGTGGCACACACAGCAGGAAAGTTGAAGATTAAAGGTACGTGTCCCTAGCAATCAAATTGGAGAAGCTACTGAGTCAGGTGAGCGCCAAACTGTGAAGGAAAAGAAAAAATTATATAGACTGCTATACTATAAAAGGAAAAAAGGTCATGCTTAAAATCCCATGACTGTTTTCTTCTACTACATTATAAGGATACACGTTTGTCCTGGGAAAAATGGAAATTCTGTATCTACAGGACTTGAAAATCTAATGATAACAGCTAGCTAATCAAATAGAAGCTTTAAGTGGAATTCTAAGGCTTTTTTTTTTGGGGGGGGGTGATTTTTCCCTCAGAGCTTTACATCTTTCCACCTACTGCCACTAAAAGGATTAGAAGCAGTCAGTCAGGGTCAAGCAATAACATGACCTCTTTTTAAATGTTTAGTTTTGGATTGTAGGCTAATGAAAATCTTAATGGCATATTGGATTTTTAATATACTTTATTTTTTGGCTGTGCTGTGTGGCCTATGGGATCGTAGTTTCCTGACCAGGGATGGAACCTGTGCCCCCTGCAGTGGAAGCACGGCGTCTTAACCACTGGACCAGGGACGTCCCATATATACATTTTGTTTTGTTTTGTTTCCCTTTTTTGCGGTACGCAGGCCTCTCACCGCTGTGGCCTCTCCCGCTGCGGAGCGCAGGCTCAGCGGCCATGGCTCACGGGCCCAGCCGCTCCGCGGCATGTGGGATCCTCCCGGACCGGGGCATGAACCGGGATCCTCCCGGACCGGGGCATGAACCAGTGTCCCCTGCATCGGCAGGCAGACTCTCAACCACTGCGCCACCAGGGAAGCCCCCATATATACGGTTTTAAAAGAGATCTTCTACAGTGATTTTCACAGAAATCACACAACAAGCTACTTAATAATCTTTGCGAAGACTAAAAGTATCTTTTTCACGTCTTGCATTTTTATTGTTCCCTTCCTTGCATTTACTCTGAAATTCTTCTGGTTTCTTTAGCTCATTAATTTCCAATCTTTTAAATTATCTAACATGTGCCTGT